CATCGACTACACCAACTCACTGTATCGTATCAATTACCAATACAAGATGTAGAACAAGGTTAGGCTAGAGAAAGAACAATATATTTAATATGAATAGAAGATATAAAGTAACATTGAGATGGACCACGCCTGCATGGAAGAGCCATGTCATCCGATCAAACCCAGTCCATTCAATTCATTCTCCGCGCCTTCTCCATTGTTCGGTATTTCCCCGAGTTAAATATTGAATATCTATTTTCTGAGTAGTCTCGTGTTCACAGCTTTGTGGATTGTGTGGCTATTGTCCAATGCCACTACAGACTCATCTAGCTGAAGGCGCTCGGTCATGCATCCTCACCAGATCACGTGTGGGAACGCCGTGCTCAACATCTACTGCAATCGCTAGCCAGACTAGATCAGACAATTCTGATATATTGGCAATCGTCAAATACAACTTCTGATCTCTTCGATTCTGTCTTTTGATTTCTCTTGGTGGGTACGAATTATGTTAGAAAGTGTTACTGGTAAAAGCTTTATCAAACACTGAATACCTGTGCCATCTTCAGCACCAAGTAGCTGGACTGGTCATACGTTAAGCTGCAAATCACTAGTTATTTTCATACGTCGCAATATAAATTGGTAGAATATCTCTATACTAAACCATTCTGTCCCATTATAATTACAACTTGTTCAACTCCCAGATAATATGTACACAAATTTCCACTTTTCAAGTGTTGAAGATAAAGTCAAGCATTTTGATATCATTACATGTATTTTCCGATCAGTTATTGTTGTATTCTGTTAGTTTGTCTTTTAGTTTATCAATACCCTGTTGCGCCCGATAATCCCATCTCGATTTGTGTCAAACCGATGTACATCTATGTATGGGACATATCATTTAGTAAGTGAATGTTACTTATAAGGACATAGTCTTCACTGATGACTTCTCTTCAAGCCCTAACGCGTAGTTTTATGCTTTCTTCATTCAGTGAGTTCGAGTTCATCACAAAAGGGCGTCCACTTGAGACATTTGTAGATGGCTCCCGATGATTAATATGAAGATTCTCAATGGAAATGACACTCGTATGTTCAGCACCAATATATTAAACCAGCGGAAAAATACGTGTGAATGCTAAATATCTCACTTTTGTTGAACACATCAATAGAACGGTTTTCTTTATCCTTCGATGACCTTCCTCCAACTCTTATTTTTGTAATAGCATTTGCTGTTATGTGATTAGTTATCATCACTTTCAATTTGTTAACCTTGTCGTGGGCCTAAAAGTTACTGCATGTCCGTTCTAAGGGATATTGAGTTATCATGATAAGTCTTGATTAGTGAAGTTGCCTGTGAGAATCCCAACTTTGGACTCTGGAGATGCAGATATGCCCTCAGATATTCCCGGTTAAGCCTCGTCCTTTTAGGGACTCAGTTTTATACTTCTAAAAACGTCTTTTAACAGATAGCCAATAATACTTACTGAGGTTTGTGATGCCTTTGGTTGTTGCCAGTCTATCATTTCTCTAGTTACATCCCACTTTATCCGTCTGAAAAACCATTAACTTTAGGTTGGTTGAACCGGCATAGTTGTCGACGATAATTACCCGAACTGAAGCTCACCTGTGGTGTCAGCTTGTAAGATAAATTTACGTGGGGAAAGGAGTTTTTGTAGTTAATTCATGGTGCTAATGCTTATGAAGAGCAATAGTAATACTGTGCACTGTTTCAGAAGTTACAACTAAGTGAGCAAAACAGACAAATAGTCAAGATATTGCATGTTACACTAGGAGTCTCCGACTTTCAAGAGGATATAAGATCAGCTGAATCAAGTTGAATCTCCCAATCGTATCTAAGGGTATAAAGAGATTATATCCTGTAGATTGCTTGAGAATTCACAGCTGCTTGTTCTTCCCCTGAATTTCAGAACGGCACCCCCAAAATGTCTACTCAGAGATTTCACATTGACTGACTTCAGCACCAAGCTGCCAGTGGTTGTGACAGACTTGGAACAACCCCTCCATTATATGTACATAAAAAGGTTAGGGAAACAAGTGTATCTTTACAGAAATAATAATATCCGCACATTTTGATCAAGAAAGCTATATTATCCCACTACATAAAACTCGCTCATCATTATAGCTGATCTGGAGATATGGAATTAATATTGCAGTATACCTCTACCCAAAATATTGTTACTACAGCTTTCGTGTTGGTCACTACCTCTTGCTTCATCTATAGAAGAATCCAGGATAGCTTGAGGTCTACTTTTTCAAACACAGAAAGTTTTTCACAACTCAATCGGAAATAATACGGAATATAATTTCTACGCAAATAGGGGAGGAGGGTAAATAAATACTTATGCTGTAATGTTACGACATTTTCAGGATGTTTTCGGACAACCATTTACCACACAAGTTATGTCATTACATTAGTGTCCTCTCAGAATAGATGTCCATAGGAATGCCGGTTCAGTCAAGTTATTGAACAGGACATTTCACTTCGGTTTACGCAGCCTAATTGAGAATTACCAACTCGCTGAGTGTTTGGCCTTCTTACTTTTGTAACCAGTGGAGACCACCGCATAATCAGTGTTCAGAGATAATCTATAGACGTCATACACTTGCTATCGTATCTCGGCAGCATTTACCTTCTTTCCGTTAATTGTCTCATGTGACTTACTGTACGTGTCATTTACGCAGGAATCAGATCAAGTCAGAGAAGGGGTGATAAAATAATGAAACATTAATTCATGAAGAGGTGCCGCGTAGGTGAGGTACGACTTTCTCATGGTCTGTCCAAGTATCAATTGCGCAGCGGCAAATAAATCCCCAAGCTAAATAGTTTTATACGTTTCGAGATTGATGCCGACCTCGTTAATTTCGCTGGACGCACCCTAACTGAAGGCACTCGTTCACGCATACGCACTAGGTCACGAGTGGGCACGCCGTGCTACACATCTCACGAAACTAACAACCAGCTTAGACCATACGCTTCTCGTCATGTCTATCGCTTTCCAAGCATATTTTTGAACCCCATCGTTTCCCAATTCTGATTTGACTGACTTGGTATACTTTGATTAAAAAGGTGATGTGAGTAAAGGTGTTGTTGAACTCGGAATATCTGTGGCAATTTCAGGTGTTTAGTCACTTGCCTCTTTAGCCATCCCAAATCCAGAAATAAATAATCCAGTTTTGAAGAACAAGTAGATAATTACAGTCAAACAAGAGAAATCGCTTTATTATTCGTATAAAATGTCCAGATACAAAAAGTGATGTGCATGTACGGGTGATAAATGTTCGGTTCCATATATATGTTTGGTCTCGCAGAGAATTTTGGTAACCTAGTAGGAAATAGATGTGGTGTAGACATATTGGGCACGAATGAGCGTTAAAACGGAAAGTTACATAAAGAAATAATATCACTGTGAATCTTCCAGGAGTTGGATCTATCACCTAATTTTGATTAAATCAATAACCTTGGGTATGTGATGAACGCTTTTTATAACCTCTTTCACAACTGCAGGCACTGAGTGTACGTCGACCAGGGATAATCGAAACATGAAAAGAAAAAGAAAGCAGCAAAAATACTCGAGATGAAGTCTTTGAGTCGGCGATATAATCGGAATCTTACTGACTAACCACTTGCCAAAGTTGACGTGAATATGCATATTATAGTAAAGAAGTTTTACTTTCTTCAAGTTACTCGAGAACTGGGATTTCTTCTGTCCTGCAAATGTTCATCTAATACCAGCCGTAGGCATCGCTAATAATAATTTCACCCCTTAAAGTTTATGATTTTCTCATCGGGCACCTCACTACTAAAAACGCACCACTTGTCCACTTGTCCAAAAACAGAATGTGTTAATCTAGCTACAAATTACGTATATGGCGGTTTCTGTGTAAGTTTTGTTCATACTACAGGAATTCGAGAAAGTTTCGAAGTCGTATTTTGCCGAGTTAATCTCATACAAGTTATATTTTAGACAAAATGATCCATCAGTGATGCCATAAGGAGTCCTGATGCCCTACGATTTGAAGTCTTACGCTATGTGTTACGAAAATGCCTTCCGAGCAAACCTTGCACTGGTAACGTTGAAGCGCATTTTTGGTCAGTTTAACGGTAGAACTTTCCACATAATCTTCGACAGTTTTGTTCGTCCCCATTTAGAATACGGAAGCACAGCGTTTCCTTCCTCAGTCCAAAAAGATAAGGACATCCTAGAGCGTATCCAACAGCGAGCCACGAAATCAGTTCGAGGACTCAAATCTAAGCCTTACGAAGAACGCCTCCGTTCACTAGACCTTTACCCACTAGAATATAGGCGTCTTAGAGGTGATTTACTAATGGCTTATAGTATCCTTAACACTTATGGACATCCTCTTAAACACCTACTTAAGCTTAGTTCGAATAATAACCTAAGGGGTAACACCCAGAAACTGGAAACACAACATAGCAAGACGGAATGTAGACACAACTTCTACTCCTTAAGAGTTGTCAAAAGCTGGAATTCGCTGCCGGCCGAGCTAGTCCAAGCGACTTCTCAGGAGTCCTTCAAGAGGCAACTTGACCTATTCTTAAGGACCAAGGACAGCATCACATTATGATTTACCAATTTCTTTTCCTTTTTTATTGTTAACATACCTAGGTTCCTGCCTGGAGGATTTGGTGATCCCCTGCTACTAGACACGGAAGCCTGTTAAGCGAAAGCTTCTTCTATTCCGTCCACACCCATTTGAACCATTTGAACCATTTAGATATGAATAATCTGGAAAGCAATCTGCCATTGTATGAATTTTGGTTTTAAGAAAGCGAGGAACTAAGTTTAACATACTTATCATTAAACAAGAAGCCCTATGGAAAAAAGACATATATCAACATTATGAACTTCTTATATCGGGCAATCTTACAGATGGAGCATAAACCCTAAAATAGTCTATTGTTATTTGCAGCAAATTATGAGCTAAAACTGTTTAAAACGCGCGGAAATAAACAAAATAGACGAATTGCGGCGTTGAGATGAGAAATATCTATCCAAAAACGTACACATTCCACGTGCGCATAAGCGTCAGAAACTACTTTTTACAGTGCCCATGATTCTGACGCGGAACACTTGAATTGTAAGATTACCCGCTGGTTTTGGAAGCGGCTGAACTATTTAAGTCTACTTTTGATCACAAGGTTATCTTAATCTGAAGCTAGTGTTATTGCTAATTGTTGTCAGTTGCTTTCCGTGATAAATGTAAGTGCATTATATGCGCTAGCTAGGCGCTCATTTAAGAAAGGTCAGTGATTTCACACTTGTTGTGAACTTTAGTTTACAACAAAGTTATAACTTTGCTTTTAAGTATTTATCGCATCAAAAGCATACTTGATTCAATTTAACTTAGATTATTCCGGCCAAGGTCTGGAATTTTCTCCAAATCTGTTTTGTGGCACTTTCTTAGTTGATTATCACACTAGTGATTATCTCGTGTATTTTGTCGACTTTCCACTTTAGATTCTTTCGCAATAGTTGACTCTATTCTCATACGGAGGAAGGAATGCATCGTGATGACTTCAGAAAATAGGTTCCACAGTATGCGTGCCCGTTTAAATCTCACTGCATACAAAGATATTCGATGTTTAACTCCCATCGACTTTGTTATTTTGCTGTTCGATTATGACATTACCGATTCAAGAGGCAATTAGCCTTCTCACGTTGGTCAGCAAGAATGTTGACCGGGGCTGGAGTGGAGACATGAGTACTGACAACGAAGAATCAGTTTGTAGTAAGTGGTGTTACGGAAAGAGCAAAATACCCGAGTGCGAAACATGCAAAAAGCAAATATATTTCAAAACAAGTAAGGTGTGAAATATCACTGTTTATTTGTGATTACGGTTCTAAGGTGGTATCTGTAGATCCATATAAAACCGGTACCGTCCTAAGTAGTTCCGAGTTGGTTGTCACGACTGAGAGAAAATGGGCGGCAGTGGGGAAATAAAGAAGAGAAAGGAAAATAGCCACAAACAGTGTCCGTTTGGTTGATAACTCTCCGTTAGGTTTCCATTCCGAGTCACAGAATACTCCGCGAAGCCCCCAAAATAAGACTACACATGACCCTAGCGTGGTTGGAAAGTTTGATCTCATCAGATGTTATTACGAGTAATTAGCTCAAATCAAACGACTCTGGTCCTAAAACAACTAAAATAAGCTCCCATCACTTAACAGGCAGGAAATGACAACGCGACCGAAAGCCGTAAACACTACTTTCAAGGAAGTAGAATTCGTCCCTAGTTTAATTATTTGGAATTTGGAGAAGTCAAAAGGTTCTTTTACCTGTTTTTTACCCTATGTAATTCATGAAGGATTGCTAAAATGATAACTTTAGTACGTTTATACTGATTGTTCCCACTGTCTAAAAGGAATTTGTGGTAGCCACAAACATTACTCACATGAGCTACTGAGTTACGCTTATTGTAGTCACGAAATCTAGTTGCCAATGCAAATAAAACGTAAACCAGCAAAGTTGTTTTCATCGTTCGTTTGACGCTTGTTTTTAGTCCAGATTTTGTATTCGTTGTTGGACAACATGTTTTCAAGTACTAAGAGTTAAAAAGATGTTTCAATCTGATCGCTATTTAAAGGGGCTAACTTGGGATGTCTGAGTTCTAAGACAAAAGGGAAGGGTTATTTGAAACCAAGCTGTTAATGAGTCTATCTCAGAAGAAGATAGGACTGTTATCCACTCTCTCCAATCATCTTCAGAGTTTCATCAATTCTAGTGTTTAACGAAATCTCCGCATAAATGCTAAAATCCCGACTGGCTTTCCCCAACACGCGTCACTTATGAAGTAGGCGAGATATTCGTCTATCAACTTAACGACAAGGTTGCTGTTCAGCAGTTCGTTCGATGTTACTTCTTGGATATGGAACAGGATATTCTTAGGTTATTATTATCTGATCATAAGTGTCTTCGAGGCACCGCTCGTGTATTTTGAACTACCGAGTTAGAGGTAGTTCACTGGGTAAATACTGCAAGCCGATTGATGAGACAATAAATCGTCATCAACTGAGGTTGTTGAGATATGTGTTACGAATACTCAACCACCACCTACTTCGATGGGCGGCGTTGTGTAGTGTAGGAGTAGTGTGGAAGAAAGCTAGGGGGGTCAAATTAAGACGTGGGACCAGTCTGCGAAGTCACTGACAATTAGATTGAGCCGTGTCAACAGGTGTAGACTACCTGGTTGGGGCCCTTGTGATTATCGTTAGAGACTTTGAATGGTTGGGTCGAAATCGTTTGGGATGGCTCAGGTGCATCCATTCATTGTCTCCCCCTAGATTCCAAGCTTCTCATTTCCCCATAATCTTTTAAATTTCACTAGTTTTTATCTTATTGAGTGGTATCTCTGGTGCCTAATATTTTTTATTACCACTACTGTTACTACCTTTACTATTCTGAAATTAACCCTAAAAAGTTACATCTCATTGTGATCAGGGGTATGACTAATTGGACCAATGTACACACGCATACTAGGCTCTACGTTGCGCGTAACTGGTTAACCACTCAACTGCCCACATAAAAAGCGGAATTGTATTCACACCTGGGGATTAATAGTCACTAGTCAAGTGCTCTAAAGAATAAGTCACTGCATCACTCATGAATTGGGAAGTGAGTCGTAATAGACACTACTGTGGTTTTCCTGCCTTTTAATAACAATTTGTAATACGGTCAGCAAAACGTTTGCAAATGTTTTGCAGCAGCAAATAACACCTAATATGTCGGTGAAGGAAACAGAACTATTTCTTGTAAATCCAGACATTCTTAGTTCTATTTTTAGTAGAGTTCCTTGTCAAGCGATTTTCCCTGATGTTCGAATTATTCTTTGAAGAAAAAAAAACAGTTCTAGCAAATGGACATAAGTTAGTTTTATTTCGTTAAGCTAAATCATCTTGGAAACTAGTTTTCAAATAAGTTAATATATTTTCTAGAAGTGCAGCTGATGAAAATTTAGTGTAAATATAATAAAAAACTGAAGAGAAAGATTGATTATGAATACAGTGGTCTTGAGTGCTGTTAGAAGTATGAGGGCGATTATCACTTCCCTGATGCCCACACTGAAACTCTTCCGGAGGTACCTGAAAATGAAATTGGATCAGAGGTGGTCTTAGTGACCTGAGAGTGTGACCACAGTGCCCAAGGGACAACTGCCTGAGTTCGGTCACTCACGACCTCTTTGTGGGTAATTTTCGTGTTAGCTCCGTACTTGTTGAGACCTTACCGCTGGAGACGGATATCCGTGGGATAAGGCGAAGTGTGCATTTTTAGGGTCGACCTTTTCTAACCCACCCCTCATTGTGGGAAGGCAGCATCACTGTTATGCTGGTTGTCTGAAGGAAACACCTTACTGCTGTCACACCCCTGTACAGCCAGCAGTACGACTTCGCCTTCGGACCTTGAGTTTGTTGCTTTTAGTCTTACCGCTCTTCAGTCGACCTGTCTGACATGGTAGGACCTTGAGGAACGATTGTTCCAGCCAGTATAGCTCGATTGGTTGACCACGATAGGCAAGCCCAACCACCACGTTAAGGTAACAACAACGGTCGAGGAAACTTTAGTGTGGTGTAGCTAAGATCTGAATAAAAAATATTGAAAATAAAAATTGTAACAAAAGGTCCTAGGACGTCAGTCTGGGCACTAAAAAAAGATTTAGAGCTGAAACTGGGTGGATATGTAGTCAAGTAATAAAATACAGGTCAACGACAGTTAACGATTAAACGAGTCAAGGTCAGTCGTTTGAAAGTAAGATTATGAACTAAAAGAAAATGGTATGAGCAGCTGATAAGAATCAAATTAGATGAAACACATTCGTATTATTCTGCTCAAATCATTGCTCTGTTTTCAAGTTAATAAAGGGAACTTAGTGCATGAAATCATTTCTGTTGAAAAAGTTAGTCGTAGTCTCAATCAAAATCACAAGTCTGATAAACGTTTCTTCTCTAAATTCCAGATTTACTACTTATTCAGAATTTAGTGCATTCGTTATTGTCGTGAAAAATGTCCAGTACTGCTTTAACTGCGATTTCTGTGGCCGTAGGAGTATTTTTCGTATTCTTTGGGACGTTAAAGCTTGGTCCATTATTTTCTGATGAGCTTTATCGCAGTGTGGTAAATTGTTTTCAAGAAAAAACTTTAGTCTGTTTAACAGAGAAAAAACTTCATTAGGATGTTCAAGACGTTTCCGTTTAGTTCGTTTACTGGTTGGAATCCGAATCCTCATGTAATTAGACGAGTTTATGGAACGACTGAAGTTGTCGGTGGTATTGTACTTGCAGCTTGTTCTGGGACTGCACAGGATGTTAGCAATGTTATACTGCTTAGTCTTATGCTATTCCATCTATTTAGTATATGGCGCGTAGCAGATGGACTAAAAGAAGCTTCTAATCTCATTGTTTTATGTTTGATGCTAACATGCAGGTTTATTATACGGATTCAAGTGAGTTATCGTTAACTAGGTTTATCAATAATTATTCATTATTCCATACCTTTGTACAAGTTGAGAGTTTATTATTTACGAGTCCATCCCATTTAGTTAACATGTGAAACTTTCAGTACTGAATATTTACAATGCCTAAAGGCCCTGTAAACCTTATGTTTCAGCTATTAAGTCTCAGGTTCACATCCCACTTTACCTACTTAAGTTTCACCGTTCGGGTAGTATAATTGATTTTCACACAAACAGTACAGCTTAAAGCGGAGTACATAAACCTTCACTTAGTAAATGATTTACTACAAAACACTAGGAAAGCGAGGAGATCCGATCACCGCTATTCGTTGGAGTTAGGATTACACAGTTCCGTCATCCTCTTCAATTTCACAATTGATAACTATAGAAATAGCTTTGGAGAAAGTCCGCTATAGTAGTTACCCCAACAACAATGTTATCCATATTATTACTTTTCACTCCGAATTACTCCATGATTAAAAAGATACTTGACTATTTTTGTTCTCCTGATTACTTAAGTTCAGGGAGTATAAAAAGTTCACTTGACTTTTTTCAAGTTTTTCCACTTGCAGTAAAAATAAGATATTTATTTGCTTGTTGGTGATAGAGTATATCACGTGATAGGATTCTCGTTGCTACTTAACAATGATATTTTAGCGCATAACTGAAGTAATGAGTATAAAGTTACTAAGGTGCTGATCCAAAGCTTTGGAACAAAAGATTATTACTTTGCTTCGTAAATCCAAAACGACCATTCTAATGAAGTCCAAGTTGGATTGTACCTCGTAATGAAAACAATTACAGTAGTTTGTTGTAGACACATGTTAGGTTTATTTGTTAGGAATCAGATCCAAATCATCAGCAATGGAAATACATCATATGTATGACATATATTTTAAGCTTATTGCTCATCATTAAGTCTATACAAAGATTACACTGATAGTCCAACTGTTATTACCGCATGAATATACATAGTATTCGATACAAAAAGTTTAAACTTGAATAAACGTTTATTTTTTAAAATTGTTTTCATTATACTAAATCATTCTGTAAGCATCCCAAACGAATTTTCGGTACAAATGTTGATATTCTACTAGAACAGAGATGTGATGTAATGATACAGGCGGTTGTGTTACATTTTAAAAGTACGTTAACTGCATCTTTTTACTTGTTTGTGTAGTTACCTTAACTGCTACTATGGGAAAAATCACCTGTGAAACAACCAAATAATGGTCAAGACATCTAATTTTCAATCAATAAGTCACAAGCTTGAAACGCTACTTCAATTTGAGTAGCTTAGGTGACATAATGCTATACTACATGGAATTGTGTATGGCTAATTTGCATTTAATTCTCTACCGGTTAGACTGTAATAATTCTTTGTCGGTTTTGAAAACTTCGAAAAAAACACTGATTACTGTTCCTTTTGCGCCTTTACTACTGTTCGTATATTTCTTTTTCTCCTATCTATTAATTTTCCGTTTAAGCTTATTCAAAAGAATGAAGAGATGACGGAAAATAATGAATATCTTAAGAATGATATAAGAAGACGTATTGTTCTCCTACAAGAGGAATTGCAGAAAATGAACACTTTTAATAATAATAATAATAATAATAATAATAATAATAATAATAATAATAATAATAACAGCAATACCAATAAAACAGAAAACGACACACACAAAGTAGAATGAAGTTTATATATTCCAGTTGAATAAATCATGACTTTTTCTCATTGTAAAGGATAATGTCAATGCATTTATTTTGTTGTCCTTTCATCAATGTTTTATTTGTAATTTAATTTAATGCTTCGATTGTTTTTCTATGTTAGCCATATATATAATCTGAATGAACTTACATTTTCAATAAGCTGAATACGTAATCTGTCAAGCAAACACGCGAACTTTTGTATAAACTTCATTTTACGGGAATTTACTCCTCTCTCCTAATCGTAACGATACAGCTGCCCCATCTCCGTTTCCGTTATTACAAATATTTCTTGAACTCAAAAATATGAGACTGGCTTCGTCTTCTAACGTTATTCTAGAATTATATCCACAAATGGTCCATCTAAATTGAGTTCACCACTAATCAGTCGACTGCTGTAAAACAAAAGAGACTCCACATGTTTGATGTTTCGAAAAACAAAGCTGACCAGTCACCCTGATCGTGTACCATCCATTACTGAAACTTGAATCATTTAAAATGAGCTGCTACCTGCAATGCGTTAAATTTATAAACGAAAGCCACTCAGGTGGATCGTATAGTATTGCGGCTCGAAGAACAGATTATGGTGATCATCTGCTGCAGCTATGCTCAGATAACCGTTTCTCTCTAGCAAGAACTAACTTTAAGCATAAGGAAAACATTATCTGACATGGTGGCCTCAAAATCGACTCAATGATGGGCCCAAATAGGTCACATTGCATCAGCCATCAATGGAAAAGCTCGAAAAAGGACTCGCTCATTCTGGAGCCTATGTTTAGACTCGGATCATGGTTGGGTTCTAGCACGTATTTGTCTGCGTCTTACTGAACGCGAAAAAACCACAGTAAGAAAACCACTTCAAGTTCAACTTGATGAAAAGTCAAGAATATATCCCAGGAGCAACTAGAGAGGCAATTATTCAACTATATAAGTGATGTCCACCCCGAGGTAGTTTGACATAACACTATTTAGAGGTTGGCTGATAACAATGGATGTTGTCATTGATTCAGTGTCAGTGTTACTTTGGTTTATAAGATAAAACTACGTTTACCTGAAAGATACAAATATCAATTGGGCCGTCAGTTTTATTTAAATTGACTTAAATACCAAAATATTTAAAATGTATAAAGCTATTTATTCCGTAAGAACGTGAAGGAGTTCATTTAGAATCTCCACTGAAACGGTTGTTTGATACATTCTACTTCTCAGTAGTTCGTCTTTGTTATAGCTCAAAGCCGCCAATCAGAAACAGCGAATTATCGATCGGACCAAGGACGCGTAAAACACTCGCGGGAAGCCTAGAGCCCTGATTGGTCTTGCTTTCCTCCTAGCCCAGCCAGTTAAGTCCAAAACACCAGTCTCAGCCTCTGCAATACGAATATGAATAGTTTAGTTACTTACCAATAAAAATATACGTTTAGTATTGGTCCATAAGAAGATCCCAAAGTTACCATTCATTATGTTTATCGAGACCTAACAATCTTGAAAATGACTATTATACATTAGTTAATAATGAATTAAAAATCATAATAATTAGAGCTAACAATGTTCGACTTACTTTTAGGTTAAACTTTAATGATGGACAGAAATAGTCTAATTCATAGTGTAAATTTAAATTCCAGATAGATTGAGCTGCCAGTAAACACGGTTCTACATCACGTCCAAGAAAACCAATAGAACTGTCAACTATTACAAGGTGATATGAAAATAAATACGAAACTAAGTAATTTTTTTGGACTATTGATAAGCAAACTTGAATGTTACTTCACAAAAGGAAAATGGTAATCACAGACTTATATCATTCAGAGGACCAGCGTAAGTTAGGGAAATAGGATAGGTGTGTTTCGTTCAATAGTCGATCTTGTCAACAAGAGATATCCGGAATCCCATTAAAAATTGAGCCTAGGACTCGCAAACCTCAAAGTAAACGCAAAAGATTTATTCAGATTTTCCAGCTTGCCTTTTTTCAACTAAATCAATATTTGGAATTTGTCTTTAAACATAAGATTTAGAGTAATTTTGTATGTAGCCAAAATGTCTTAAAATTATGGATCGTTCTAAATTAGACCACCATTGAAAACACGGAAATACTGGACGGATGTTCCGTCCTAGTATAAGACTCCTCGGAGGCACGCACTCACGATCCCCCAGGCGCCAATCGAACCCGGAACCTTCAGTTTCAAGTGCGAATGCTTAACCTTTCGATCATTGAGTCAGCACCCGTCGGTGTAAATGTCTAACTTCATCCCATTCGCGGGTCTATTGGTGAGGTATCACCTTATTAAAGCAATCCAGTGTTGTTCAATCGGATTTAGCATTCATGTGGATGGATATGAGGACAAATATTTCAGAATAGTATAGAAATGATTACATTTTGTGCGCTACAACCCTTCTACCTTGAATGTCAGTTAGGTCTGAGTCATTATCCAAGTTATTCAGTTCAGTCCTTTCAGGTTTACAATAGTTATTCAACTTAGATCGGTTTTGGGTTTACTTAACATTCGATAATTTCCACAAACCCGCCACTAGTATGAATACCTTCACTATGTTTTAATTTCATTTGATTCTTATACTTATTTTTAAGCTGAAAAGCATTTATAAAATTACATAACTGTACACTAAGGTAATGGTAAGATTTCCTTTTATACTGACCGGTACTCCAGCTAATAAATCATTAAGACTGATTTCAACGAACTATGCAATTTAGTGCAGAAAGCAAAAACGGAATTCGAAAGTGTGGTTAACTGAAAATAACTACCAATGTGAGCTTCAAATGCGTAATGTGATAAGTGAAGAAAATGAATATCTTCTTCCACCCAAAAATCAAAGGTAGGTTCGGTCTGTACTTTTTAAATGTGAGAATCCACTTTACTAGTGTTTTCTATACCTGTGTACCTTCAACCATTGAGGAAAGTTCACAAATGGCCAGCTGAACAACATAATGGATAGAATTATTTATGGATAATGTAATATAACTTATTTACCAAATAGATTTATTTACTCAGCTTTGGGCCATTATACTGTTTGCGTGACAATAGGTGAACTCAAATCTGCGACCTAATTGTCGAAAGCAGTGTTTTAGGCACTAAGTTACTGCTCTGCTATGAATAAAGACTTAGGGAAAAACAAGTTGTAAACACTCAAGCCGTTTGATGTAAAGTAGGCTTATTGACCAGTAAGGGAAATGATAACCAAATTCAAGGTCAGGGAAAATGATAATTTTCACAATGGGAATCTTTAATATTCTAAAATGATAATAGACACATTGGTCACTTAGTAGTGGCCAACGTCATGTCTAATCTTTAGCACTGAACTAATACTGTTGAACAAGGTGTAATATAACTGAATATCAGCGACATTAGATTATGACCGACTGAGGTGACAAGAGCTCAGTGACAATATTCCTAATTAAGGCACAAGAGGCGACAGTACCATCAAGTCTGTGGGCGTGCCTATATAACGTGCTAACTAGCGTGAAAATTGGTTCAAGCATTCTGTTAGGGATGCTGAGGAATATACCAATCATTATCATGTTAAGTCTAATGATGACCTTGGACTCCCTATTGGCCATTATTTATTTCACTCGTTAAATATTGTACAAAATAATTTCTATTTTTATGGTACGATGTGATCTGTTTGGTTGGTATATAAACAGAGTATGTTTGAAATATAACGATTCATATCTCAGAGGCTGTGACTTGCGTTCTGGACTCAACTGGCTGAGCTAGACAGGGAAGCAGGACCAATCAGAACCCTAGGCCGTTCTTACTTGTTACTGTAGTCGATCGATAAAGCACTGCTCCAACTAAACTGCAATCCACACGTTACAACACATTCTTAGCAGTTGGAACCATTATGGATTTTCAGCTCAAGAGAATAAACAGATGGGTGGAACATTTTGAAGAACAGTTCGGCTAGTCTGAAGTTACCCATCATTCTCACACATAACCTCAACGAGAAATTAGCCCAAGACCCCCCAACCTTTAGTAAGGTCGGAAAGATCATATATAAGTTGAAGAGAACGGTAAGGCTTGAGAAATCAACTTTGGAGGTCTTTGAAGCTGACACTCCAGTTTTAACGGTCAAGCTGGACTTGTATTAACAGGACTACTTATTGTGTAAAAAATTTATCAATACTCAGGATCTTATGAATGAACGCCGGTAATTATGTTCATTTCATTTTACACGACGACAGAGAAATATATTTTGATTACATATAAACTTTTCCTCCACAATAGATTAAGTGCATTCATATAGAATTCTTTTAGGTTTTTCAAGTAGACATGTTACAGGTAGTATTCCTCACATACTGGTCTCAGTTGGAATAACAATCGAAACTGTGGGGCATGGAACAGTTGTTTGATCTGTAACCAACCAAACCTATAAATCAAATTAATCTCCAGAAATTCTGAGCAAAACGGATTAGTTAAGACCTATAATATAGACATAGCTTACGACTTTATAATTTAATCGATATGACTTAAAATTAGTAATAGTAACTCAGATTCATGGTTTAAAAAACGGTTTCATCCAGCTACTTCGTTGTGCACTCTTCCACGAGGAATTAAGGACGGATTTCCGATGAATTCAGGAAATAGGAACTATTCAAGAAATCATACTAGTTCGAGTAAACCATATGTAGATTGAAGGAGTTAATAATACAACAAAATAATAATTATAATAGTATAGAGAACGAGAACTCAGGGGGGGGGGGGACAACCAATTTGTTGTTTGATGTAAAATCAAACTGTAGTTTAGCAAAACGTGAAAATCACACATTAAACACATCATTCGCACATCCTCTTTGAATTGTCTCTTACAAGCTTCATTGTTCTTTCATTCCTGTTATCTTGATTGCTTTCAGTCCCCTTCTCTTTTCATTTCAATCTTCTCGACCTTTTGCTCGCAGACATTCCACTCCCGATTGGTGTTACATACTACTTATATCAGCAAACATACGTAGCATACACCACAAGTTACAAAATAAACTGTCACAACTGTGAAAAAACAAAGTAACCAATTCAATAGTTTGCGTGTATACCAGTTGAGTGTGGCAAACATCATAACATATCTTCAGCCATACTAAGCTATGCGAACACACATGTTCTATTAGGATAACGTTGAAATTTTCATAGAACAAAGGCTAGAGAATTTCCGCAAAATATGGTAATCATCAGTTAATAGGTATAATGAAACAAATCCAATCTGCCGCTTAATTATAAACGCTTACATGGCTAAAGCTAAGTTTAAGGAAAAATTGAATCAAAATAAATAATGGTAGTACAATTAGTGGCAGCGTCTCACCACGTCCTATATCGGTTATTTGAGCCGCCATTTCGTCATGACCAGGGATATTACCCAGTTGTCCGAACCAAAATATCTGGAACAAGGTTCAAATGTGAGACTACGTGGTCGAGTTACCTTGTCATCAACTTAACGAACTGGTTATCACTTTTGAAAATATTTCAGCATAACTCACTTGTTTTTGAAGTTTGGATTGCTGCTGTTGTAAATGGTTTGTCTGGTAGGACAATAAAAACAATACGATCAAACTATTCAACTCAGTAAATAAAACTCTACTAGAATTCTTCTAAATGTATTGAGCGTTATGAGGCTTACAGTGAAATATTTCGAAGTATTATAACATACAGGAAACTGAGATTATTCAATCAAAGAGTATGACAACAAATTCATGAACAATTCAATTCAGTAAGTGAAAAAAATTTTTTTTCTAGTGTTCGAGTTGTACATAGAAATAAAAACAATTGTTCCATTTTCAATAAGTTACTTGTTTTATTGAACTCCTTTCAAATTGAGTGATTATTGTAAATTTTTAAAAAACAAAAAAAAACCCTGACAGTTGGAATTAAAAAGGTTACATATGAAACAAAAGAAAATGCTACAAAATACACATAGTGATTCATGCTGGTTGCCGTTACTACCAATAATAATAATAATAATAATAATAATAATAATAATAATAATAATAATAATAATAATAATAATAATAATAAAAATAAAGATTTCATATATTGCAAAGAACCTCCTAATAAAATGCAGAATTCTAATACAATACAGAAATGGACTAGATAATTGTATTAAAATCATAAAGAAGTTGAATAAATTATGTGTATGTACGTAAAATGGTTACTACATAAAAGATTGTAATGAGAAAATATAACAGAATTTTTAAAAAAATCATTGAATATAACGTGAATCATGACAATTTTGAGTTGTGTGTCAAATAAATACATACTGTATTCCCCTTTTTAACAAAAACAAATTTGGTGAATAGATTTAGAGCACGTCATATAGAGTGAAATTGCTCAATCTATCATCCTTCATCAAACAATGAATTTTGTTGTTCCTTCCTTATAAAAGTTTATTAACGGGATTAATAAATATTATGAAGAATTAACACTGTGTGTATCGGTCAACTCATCAAATTATATTCAATGTCGAAATTGTGGAATTATTCCATTTGAATAATCTAACACAATTCAAAGAGATCTTTACTTTTTTGTTGAAAGAAAAGTTGATAAAAAATAAATCGAAGATATAAAAAAAACCATAATTATGGCAATGGTGATGATAATAATGAGACTATTATGATATACAGAGAAAAAATAGAAATAAATTGCGTCAATATGCAAAATGACAAAACGCAAAGTTGTGTGATCGACAAGAACATGCATATTTTTAAGTCAATATGAGTGAATATACAATATATATGCGAATCAAAGTTTCCATCTCTACGTTATATCATCACTGTCCTCTCCTTTCTTTTCAAAATGCTGCTTTGGTTTAGGCACCCAAGCGATATTTTAGCACACACGTAAGTCGAAAGACAAAGTGTAGCGCGTACATATTTGGTGCCTTCTTGTACCAATGTTTATGTGTTTAAATAAACAAAACTGTAAATACTATGAGAGAGGAATTTGCAGGATGGCAAATATTAAGAATAAAATGTAACCTGAAAATGATGTTCGGAAGCAAATAAATATAAAGAAGTACAAACTAGTTTTAATTATCACTACCAAGTAGAGCAGGTTCAAACGTTAAGCTGAATTCATCCAGGGAAGTTAACAAATCTTGTATTATTTTTCTTAAATCATGGCTTAATAAAAAACTTCTTGGTTCATACATATGATAGGTGATAGGACTAATTGCCAATATAGATAACCAATCAGAGAGTAGGTGATCACGAAGTGCATGACAAATAAAACGCTATAAAAAGTGAAGTAGAGAGAGGTAAAAAAAAGAGTAATATGAAGCAGAAACAAACAATGAATAACCAAACAATTATAACTAAAACATTTGTTCTGATGTGTAAGGCAGTCAAAACTAAGCAATTCTAGGCCCAACATACGGATTAAATTCACTATTCTCAGTTAAAATATTAGTCTTTGAATCGATAAATACGTTATTAATCACATTCATTTGTTGTGAAAGATGAGATTAGTGAGCTACAATATATTATCGATAGAATTTAAAAAATCAAATGTCTATCAAATAAATTCCCCACAGATTTTATTCTGATTGGGAAAATCTAGGCAGAATTTACATCTGCAAATACCCTAGCTCCGCTTCTACTGATATTGACATCTACTTTTGCCAACTTGCGTCATTTATGGCGTAGGCGAGATATCCGTCTATCAACCAAAGGACGTGTTTACTGCACAGCAGTTCGTTCCGTCCTACTTTATGGCAGTAAAACATGGCCAGTAAGAGTAGAGGATATTCGTAGGTTACTAGTATTTGATCATAGGTGTCTTCGAAATATCGCTCGTATATCCTGGGACCACCGAGTAAGTAACACAGTTGTTAGGAAACGGGTTCTAAGTAAGGATGGCAAATCAATTGATGACGTAGTGAAACTTCATCAGTTGAGATGGCTGGGATACGTGTTACGTAATTGTTAGTCAGAAGGAAACTATCGAGAGCAAATACAAAATCATCTCTAAAATAATATTTCCTATCAAGATTGACATTTAGTTAATTATGTCACAGTGTTTCAGTATGAAGAAAGCACAGGGACCATAGTTGTTCTCTGATTGGTTGCTTTATCAGGTAAGTTAATTCCCAAGGTAATCAGACTACAAAATAAACAGATTTGTGGTATCACACTTTGTCTTTTGCAGGTTGTAAAAGTTCTCCTTTTTTATTTTAAAAGGTTGTTTAGTTGTGTTATATTTATGACGTAAACTACAAAATTCAACAATCTCTCATCCGGCTCTGCACTAATAAGATCAAACTGTCTAACACTCAATAACACCACGTATTTTTTAAGATAATTAAGTTATTTCAATGTATTCTACTGGGATTTTCAATTCAGATAAAAAACTACTTTTCTTTAGTTTCGACGACTGATTATTGTATTCGGGTAATATCATAGGCTAAGACTTCTTGTAAAATGATGTATACCGATGTTCTTTGTAGTAAAAGTATGGTAAGAAATTTTCTAAACAGAAGAAACCATATTATAGTATCATTTCGAAAATCTGAAATGATTAATGTAAACTGTATGAAGAGAAAAGCGTATTCCATAAATTAGTGGAATCTCTAGATTTGTTGGGAACTAATGCATAACAACATTTAATAATACAGTTTTCGATTTATTGTAATAATTCAAACAAAACTAAAATGTTACTTTTCCTTGGACAGCTAAATATTTTTTATAACATTCAGCTAACCGTTTCTATTCAAAAATCACCAGTCGAACTGACTTCAATACGTTATTTCTTTGGTTGATTATATATGATGAATCTATGGATGATTTAAATGCATAAGGTTCCCACTATTCAAAGTGTCTTACTCAATGCCTTCTGGCGGTGGGATCGTTGTTTACGAAATTGGGAGGAAGGAAAGTGAATGTCCGACGCCTTAGCCCAGTTGGTGGATATGAAGGACCCACCTCGGGAAGTTGGAAAACCTTGGTTCCAAACCAATGGTTGACATGAGCTCCAGGATCCTGAGGGAAAAAATGGACTATGAACCTATTGTTGGTTACCGATTACCATGGGAGCACATCTACTAACGTTTTCCCACCACTTCGTGGATTAGACCTCTAGGTCAAAGGTTTGGGGAGTGGATTCCTAAGAAAACCACATGACTCGGTTTGGGCGTCCGGGCAGTGTCCCAGCCCTAACACAAACCATTTGATTTGTGTGGAACATATATGTTCAGTGCCTTTTTGTACCAATGTTCATGTGTTTAAATAAATAAATAAATTGTTGAACACTTTTGTGAATAAATAAAGTGATATAAAAATTAAAGTATTTGTATCTAAAAAATATTCAATAAACGGAACAAATTAGACACACTTATATACACCTACCTGAAATTTACCCTCTTTACCAAAATTCATACTATTATTAGTGATATTTTGTACATACATAGTAAACTGTAATGCAGACTGCTGTATAGAATTGGGCATTGAAGCTAATCTATTATTTATTAAAATATCAATAGGTTCATTTTGTGATGTATTCAAATTATCACCAATTGAAATTAAACGAGATAATGCAGGTGAAGCAGGTTGTGAAAATGAGATTAAATTAGAACGTGTATTAGCATAGTTTTGTTTAGATTGACTATGATTATAATTTGAATAAACTTCATTAACAACAGAAAATGATGGTGAATGTGGCAGTAATCCATGTGATTTAATGACAGATGTAAACGTTGACATTTTTTCATGTTTATTATTATTGCCTTGACTACAACAATTATGTTTCGATGTTAATGAACGTGGTAGACTATGAGTAGAGAATGGTAAATAGTTAATTCTACTGGAAGTTTGCAATTCTGGTACTCGGAAATCCATACTCTGTTGTTGTTGTTGTTGGTTCTGTCGATCAAGATTAGTAGGCTGAAGTTTCGCCAAGAAATCATTAGCAACTTTTTCTATTTTTATAAATGTTAAAACAAAAATTCATTTAAACAGTAAAGAGTTTCAAGGTAATCTAGTCAGTTTATTTCAAATATAACTTAGCAATCATGTTATATATGCTCGTAGCCTTAACTATGATTTATGTTTTTTGTGTATATGAAACAGTGATATGAATTTTTGCAGTTTAAAACTTAAGAGAATAGAGGTGAGAAAGAATTCCTTCAAAACAAATTGTCGGAAATCACATGTATGTGCCTCAAAGTGACACTGGCTAGATGTAACAACTACCAACTTCTCGAAGTATCATCACTCCTGGAATTTAATTTATGCAACCAAAACTAAACGTATCTAATTTCTTTCAGGTAAGAATAGTGTCGCTGCAGTAAATACAGTCTGAAAAATTATTTCGTCCATATATATAATTAAATTAACTCATTGGATGAGTCAGTCCATTTACGGGACATGCTAATATCTAATGATATTAACTGTTTATTAGCGACTTTGTGACAAATGATGGATGAAAGAGAAAATTGGTGTATACATTCAATACGCTCTTATACTATAACAATAGATGTAGCTTATGTTTTAAATGAGATAATAAAATTATCAATATGTATTTTCACACATCTAAGCTGAATTACCATTGAAAACATGAAAGCACTGAATGACCATTTCGACCTAGTATGGGGCTCATCAGCGGTGCATATCCACGATCCCGTACGCGTGACTGCAACCCAGGACCTTTGGATTCGCGCGCGGACGCCCAACTTCTAGACCACTGAGCCAGCATCCAACGGCGTTAATGTCTAACTTCAATCGATCCATAATCTTGCATAACCCAGTGCTTCCATGTTTTCAATGATGGTCTAGCTTAGATCGCCTTGTGAATTCAACTATGAAGATACCACAACCTCCATAAATCCCCATACAGATAATTATTGGTATGTATTGAGTATATAAACGAATATTCTGGAATTACGGAAATTTGTAGCTTTAATGATAATAAGTTCAGGCCAATGAGAGCTTCAAAATCAAAACACCTAAAACGCAATGAAATTGACATTTCCAAAAATAAGCGAATATATATGTCTATGACCAAGTAAACTCTGTAAAAATGAGATTCGACCCTATTACGTTAATTACATGACATAAACTCTTCATTGAAAATAGTGGGTTATATTGAGTCATTAAACATTAGAATATTTAATTTTTCTGCTCATTAAGATATTAAAAACATTTCTTTATCAATTTAAAATAAAACCTTAATAAACACAAATAAAAGTGAATTAATGAATTCTATTACATACCGAAATAATCCCATACATACATTTTTCGTTGAAATATACGACTTGAACGAAAACCATAAGTGAAAACTAAATGTAAAGCTGGTACAAGACCATGTTCACCGCACCATAATGATGTTAAACTAGTTGTCATTGTATTAGTATGATTTGTTTTACAGAAGAATTTTAATAAACAATTCACTGCATTAGCTACACGTTCATGTATTATGACAGAGTTTAAATTTTCTGATTAAAAGACAATGAAAAACAACTTATATTTACTAAATTGAATTAAAGCAACTGTACTATGAAGGGATAAAATTAACATTGTAACTAAGATGTAGACATGAAATTGTAAAAAACAAAAAAAAACAACTCAATAATTACTTATATACATAATAATAGGAAAATGCATCAGTATTAACACTGTGAGCCTCTATACTACTATTAACGTAACTATATGACCAGTTGGATAAATTATTCAAATCAAGTTATCCTAAAACCAAAACACTATGATCTAACAAACATGTAGATAAACGTAAATCGGGCGTGACGATAACATATGGATGACCCAATGACATTGAAGATAGCACGTTTTGGATTTTGGCGTGAAGATTCATTCACCCCTATGATTAAATAGTATTTTGGCACTACAGCTGATGTCAGTTCGTAGTGAAAACCTTAAATTTTCAACCCTAAATTCTAATTCCAATTCCTTACACTAGTTTATAACCCTTTTTAATCATAACAAGGCGGTTATTCTTAAGGTCACTTTATCTTCGTTCAACGGTCGTCCATAATGATTATAGTCTCATCAAAAACTCACCTAGAATTTGATTAACTCGTGCCTACACTATACTTTTAGCCATAAATCTTATTGAAATAAATATGGGACGAGGAAATTTTAGCTTAAAATGTATGATTATCGTTGGTAAAATATCAAATTTCATGAAATTACAATGATTTATGTAATACATAATAATATTATCATAATTTGGGCAATCCTTTTTATACGATTCAATAACAAAAAAAAAGAATATAAAACTTACTTTGGTCCGAGTTTCGTCTTGACAGTGATGGTGATAGACAACGATTTGGCAAATTTTGTAAACATTCTATGGGATCTGATGATAACGTTAATGGAGTTGTGAATAGGAGATCTTCCATAATAAACATATAAGATAATAATAGTAATAAACATGTGAATAATTTGTTCATGATTCGAACAATATGAAAGAATACAAATTGAGTTAATTAAAAGAAAAAATGAATAATGAAAATGATAATTTAGTGCAATTAAACGTGATTACGTATAACCTTTGAAAAAAGACATGTTTGTGTAAACATGATTAAAATGAGAGAAAAAAAAGAGAATTGATTGGTTGACTTCAGATATTTTGTGGATGAAAGTTATCACCAAACGCACTGGATGACTGTCACTTGATGTTCCACAACGGATTTGAGTCAAAATCGTACTAATGGATGGCGATACAGTAGTTTCAGGGGTTAAGTATTTGCCAAAAGAACTAAAAATCTTGGGTTAGATCACAAGACAGGTCATGGGTACGCGCTGATGGGTGGTCTTATATTAGGATGAAACAGATACTTAGTGCCACCTAATTTTCAACGGTATCTAAATTGAGAATAATCTGTGACAAATACAACCTATAAATTGAATTAATCTCCACAAAACCCTGTCAACAAAACTGTAAACAGACCTAGTACAATCAAGAACTTAATTCACGATAACTTATAACAACAAGTTCGAGGTTAGATTAGGAATTTAACTTATGACGTTAAACTAATAGAGTAAGAACACAAAAGTGATAAGATATCATTAGTTAGATGAGGTTGGAATGATAAGCCAATTAGACTGGAAATGGTGGGTCAATTGCCAAACGCGTATCAAGTAGCTCTAATGTTATGATATTGAGTTTAACAAGGTCCATGAACGGAAAGCGATGAAAAATTGCTTTAGATAAACTTGTTCCGGTCTTATTTAGCTTTATTCATAAGTAATATAATTTAAAATTACTTTGACTATTCCAATTTTCGATCACACTTTTATGGTTTCAAGAAAAGTAGTTCTAGTCGGTAGCTCAAAATGTACTATGTACGTCGCGGTTTAAACCCATGATCAACTTGAATGAAAGTGATTTAACCATTAAAACAGTGTATGTGGCATCATTTATTAGATATCCTTTTGAAAGTAGATGTATTACCGTTTACATTTTAAAAAATATCACTGTACATGGACAGATTCGAGATGTAGTTATAATAGTTTTCATCATAGCAAACCTTTTTATGACTTTCTTCAATAATTGAACAAACACCAAGCTAACTACATTATTTAAAATATTATGACCAACAAAATGACTATAAATTTAAAATGTAAGCATTATGATATTTCATTCCAAAAGGTACCACATAATTCCTGGGAAAACGTACAGAATTTCTTCTTGTTTTTTTGTGTTATACATACGATGCATAAATGTGAAATAAGTATAATATATCAGGTATGATAACCCCCTGGTATGGCCGAGCGTGGAGAGAGTCAGCTCCCTCTCTCTCGAAATGCTTTCACATGGCCACGCATATACAGCCGCTCACAGGGAAGTCTTAGTCACCGCATTTTCACAACAGAGCTGTTGTTTACGAAATTGAAAAGACGAAAAGCGAATGTCCATCTAGAGGAGTTGGAAAATCCTGATTCTAAAACAATGGTTCACATGAGCTCCAAGATCCTGTGCGAACGAATAGAGTATGAACTTACTGTTAGTCACCGACTACCATTGGAGTACATTTACTAACGTAGGCCTACCACCACCTTGTCGATGTAGAAAAGAACAACTTTCAGTTACCGACCTTAATAATGAGATGACGAATAGTTATTTTTATATGATGAATTCAATTAGAGGTTTATCACCACTAAGACACTTGTTTTGCTTGAGATCAATGCCAGTAGAGAAAAATATATTATAAGCTTAAGCTAATACTTTATAAACAAAAAGAATTATCACCAGTGTATTAAGAGGCTATGTGTTTAGACATTACATTTTGTCCTATATGGTCTGCAACGTCCATAAATTTCGAACTAGAAGTGATGTGCGCACTTACACACACGAAAATCCTCAAGATATATTTCTTTTTACAAGTTGAGACACAGACTAGTTAGTAATACCAATGAGAACACTAAAAACTTACCGTTAGGAAATTAAGGTGGGATAAAAACAGCAATTGTTATTTAGACAGAATCCTTTAAGAAACTGATTAAAACGATCATTATACCTGATATGCGGTAGTGAGAGTAAAACGTGACTGTTCATTGAGCCTGGACAAAAAGATGTTACCCTAACAACCATTAGGTAGGTGATTTCTTTTCCTCTCACTGATTTCTACTAAGTGCAACTGCTTGTAGCTCCGTCGAATAAAATACTATCTAGTATTAATTTGACCCTCTATTTAGAGTTGTGAATCCTGGATTTGAGATATAACGTGATCTGGTCTCTGTATTATGCACCGTTCAGGTATTTTATTAAGCGTAGCGTAGTATACCACAAAGAGAGGGAAAATATATTAAACCATCCATTGTAACAATGGTCAAAATGGAAAGAGAAAACCGTAGCAAAACTATAAAAATGGTCGTCATTTTTTATTACAAAAAGAAAAGCAAACTAAGTGCAATCCAATATGGTGTTAAACAAAGACATGTCAATGTGAATGGGTGTTAATTATTTTCATCGTAAACTACAAACGTAAATAATGATCACTTTAGGTTCAACCTTATTAGACAAATGAATATACATACATATATTGACTAGAAGTGAGATTACTAGGGGATTACAGTGCATGAATGGTGAGTAAGCGTTAAAAAAATGAAACAAAGCAATACCACACACAACTTACAATACAAGTATCTCTAATTGAAAAAAATATGCCAACAAATAATATTGTTTATTTTGTTGTACAGAAAAATAAAAAAAATGAAAGACATTATTGCCGGATGTTTCATTACTAGAGACTAATTTTAAAGGAAAAAAAGGAAAACCACTGTATTAATCATGTTTAACGAAAATTAGTCTAAAAGCAACGACTAACATTCTTTGGTACGTAAAGAGAAAAAAAAGTTCAACATTTCTAACGATATATGTTACTTTGTCTATCTAACTTAGTAATCAGATAGATATACATAGTCTGTCCAATAAATATGCGAACTGTATAATGTTCGTTTTAGAAAATTTATGATTCATTACTTTCTACCTCACTAAAATGTTTTCTCTTTGTGGCAATGTGTTATTTTCAGCCCTGTTTCCAGTGTTTAAAACATTTTTTAAAAGTCCTCATCAATTACTCGTTGGAAAGCATAAGTGTACACACTCGATTTTTTGATTAATGCGGGTCAATAGTTGTTTATAACTAGCACTCTTAAGAGCTTATTTGAAGAAACTGTTATGTACACTTTTATTACACTGTTTTCCGCTAAATAAAGTGTTTGGGACAGTGGAAAACACGTATCGAATAAGTGAAAATACAATAGCTGGAGGTGGTGTAGTAGATATTGCAAAATAAACAATGAAAATCGAAATAAAATCAAATAGTAATATCTTCATATATTACAATAGTATCAGGAAAATGTACAGATTAAACGAAGAATGTACACCTACATGGATCATTTGATGCAATACGGATTTGTTCACCAATGAGAATACGTTCTAATGCATCATCTTCAACTCCTAAACCGAACCAGTGATAACATGGGAATCTATAAATAAATATATTTCGACAAGTTTCTAAGCAATAAAGTAACTAAGATTTGTAAGGAAAGCAAAAGACATTAAACCAATGTAGAATTGGTTTTATATATACAGACACTCTACTCGGTGTCGGCATGCAATACTACTGTAAGACAAGACAATTGGCAGGAGGAATGTGTATTTAATGAGAGAAGTTATAAAGTAATTTATACAATAACATATACATAGCCTCCAATCGCCTATGCACATCTTTGAGTGTTTCCTGACATTCAAACTGTCTTGTATTCTGGTCTCTATGCATTCTACCAATGCCGTGCTTGCAATGCACTGGAAATTCTCATAATTGCTACAACTTCGACGCCACTTTCAACCACACACTACTAACAAACATCATTGTGGGTAATATCGACCACACTATCATTAATTCATGGATTTTCTACGCGTGTACAACTTGGTTTTAATCTTTCATGTGATTTACAGTTCTAATAAGTAAACGTAGTTCACTTATAAAACATTGTGGATACATAAAAATAGTTATATATATATATATATATATATATATATATATATATATATATATATATATATATATATATATATATGAAGTACAAAATGATTAAAATGATATCAGTTACGCATAGAGAAATAATAATATTTCATTGAGTGATAGTTTGCAAGCCATAGATAGTTTACATAGTTGGTGATATGTTTTGTATTTCAACCCAAAGATACTAGATTTATGAATTACAACCTGATTCCCAGAACACTTAGACTCTCAAACGCTGAGCAAAAAACGGAGAGTAAGAACTATGAAAGATTTACTCCGAAAGTTAGATAATCTACAGAAAACTAGGGTATTTAAAGGTTCACATGGGAATTTGAGATTCTGAAAGTCACTAAAAGGACATTTTAAAATTAGTGACAAAATCGATAAGGATACAATTAAGACATATCATTTTCTAGAATTCTAAAAAATGAAGTGTATACAGGATTTAACCAGCTTCTGAAATTTTTTTCGAGTAATTAACGAGATCTCTTAACAGTGGGTGTTTAATACATTGTTGTTTGGTTATATTGTCACGTTTATGAACAGACACATCTCCTGGTGTATCATATGTATTTCTGCATTTATGATATAGTTTATACTTCCAGAAATCTCATCCCGTAAAAAACAACCTTGCTAAAAAAAGTGCCAGACCAAAATGCTAACCAGAAGACTTTTTGTGTAATGGATGTTAACAATTCACATGAAGTAAAATTCCCTGATCGATTAACGATTCAAATACAAAGTACAAATATATTTGATGTTATATTAAACTGCTTTGTTAACGTTTTATGTGAAAATAACAGAAAAAAAGAACACCTCAAGATTTCACAATACATCTATCAAATACATGAACTTACAAATAAAAATGATTAGTAATACGATTATGAACAATAATGAATTCAATAAACCATTTCGGAGCTGAACCAGTATTATCATGTCCAATTTGTAATGTAGACAATAAACCAAGATTACGATTCTAATTAGTATGAGTATATAATTTAAAACAAAAGGAATAATAAAATACGGTCACTGATAAGTAGAACGGAAGTGAAATATAAAATAAAGGTAGATAAATACCTGTCATATGTAAATGTAAAAGCATGTACATGGGAAGGATAGATAATCACACATATTTATCACATTGCCAAGAACTTATGATTCTGATGGCAGAACGGGGCCCTTTTAGCTTATCATTCGCTGAATAAAGGACATAAAGTGGATGCGATAAATGGATTATGAATGATCAACAAACGATCTAATTTTGACTAATTAAGAGTCACAGAAGCTATAGCAATTGGTAGGTTTACACCTAAACAATCTAATTAAAAAGTATCAGTGATTATCCTCCGACTGCCATTCCACGTTTTTATTTTTCATTCTTCAAACAGTAAGAACCACAGATTCGTATAGTATCGATGGAACATAGCTAGCAGTGGAATCCAGGGCGCGTGCTTTGTTCTGTTTGGGACTCGTTATCTGGGTGCGACTGCATCCCAGAGTTGGTGCTAGCTCCGGGACTTGAAGCCAGTACCGTTCGATCTCACAATTGATTGATCACTGAGTGGTGATCAATGTCATGCTTGTCTAGTCCTTATTAGTGCAGATCGAATGCTATCGATCATGTTGCAATGTGGTCACCAGTCTAGGTGACTCGACACTGCGGGCACTATGTATTGAGATTTAGATGGTGGTCGGAGGTAGTCAACAGGAAACCCTGGACCCGGCTTTCGTGCTACTTGGCACTCGTCAGCAAGGTGTACCTGTAATCTTGAGGGAACTGATGCTCCCATTTAAATCTCAATACATAGTGCCCGCAGTGTCGAGTCACCTAGACTGGTGGCCACATTGCAACATGATCGATAGCATTCGATCTGCACTAATAAGGACTAGACAAGCATGACATTGATCACCACCCAGTGATCAATCAATTGTGATTACATCTCAGTCCTATAGGAGGTTAGTCACGGCTCGGATAGCTCAGTGGTAACGTCTCTGACTGTGAAGCTGGGTGACACGAGATCGAATCCGCCAGGGAGCACCAGTTCCCTCAAGATTACAGGTGCACCTTGCTGACGAGTGCCAAGTAGCACGAAAGCCGGGTCCAGGGTTTCCTGTTGACTACCTCCAACCACCATCTAAACCGTTCGATCTGAACGCCGTCGGGTTATCACGTAGTTACTGAGATAGCCACTCCCTTGTGTAACAGGTATGAGATTTTAATTCGACTGAAAATGAATTGGAAGATCACGTTGTTGTTTTGACTGAATTCAGATCAGTCCTCATTGGCATATGTGTATCCCGAAAGGATTAATTCGATATAACCTTTGTTCGAGTCTCGAAGAATCAACCCTAGAATGCAAGTAAATCAAGCTGACGAGTCTTAAATGGAAGACACATGCAACCTGGATTCCACCGTTAGCCATGATTCATCAATTCTATGGCAGCTTGTTGTCCACAAAGAGTATATTAAGGTAATTCTCATAGGATACAAATATCCCAATCAAGAGGGATTAAAATTCAGTCAAAACATCTACAACGGGATATTCTAATCCATTTCCGACTGAATCACAACCACAGTCTACGAGTTAAACCAAATTATTATTCTTTATAATCAGCCTAAATATTATGGAACTATCATCTCAATCCGTATCAAAAACTGTTGAAACTATAACTTATACCTACTTAAACGACTTCTACTTAAGAGATGGACAAGCCGTTTTATAAAATTCTAAATTACATTACTAATTTAGTCGGTTGGTGACATATAACGTAAGACCTGGCTTAAATGTGCATCGGTTCAGAAGAATGTGACACGGCAAGCATGAACCACCGCAAGAACGACTGTTTTAAAGGGGGGACGAGTGTGATATGTGCTACTTATATTGAAACAAGTAGTATATGATGTTAGTCGTAAACAGAAGGTCTGGCAGCAGAGAGATAAGAGGATCGAACAGTAAAGAATGGAAACAGAATGCAATTTATATGAAAATGCAAGAACAATGAAGTCTGAGTCATTATGAGACAACTGATGGACATTTTACAAATTACGTATTTACTACTTTATTGTTAGATTTTATTAACATGTCCTGTAATTATGTATCAAATACATTCAATTGTCCCACTCGTGTTCTGTTCACTACAGTAGTAGTAGTAGTAGAAAGAATTAAGCACAAAAAAGCATGAGATTTCGGGACTCAGGATCTAAGAATAGACAGTCAGTGGATCCTCGATTGTTACCAATTTCGAGACAAGTCAGCTAACGTCTACAGCCATTAATTAAAATAACTGAGGGGATTAAAAAATATCCTCTATTTTCAGTGGCCATGCTTCACATCCCTAGAGTAGAACAGAGAGCTTCTAAAGAGAATGCAACAATATATAATAAATGGATTCTATTCTGTATTTAATGTCATTTTCCCTTTGTTCAAGTAATTTATGACGAGAGCCTATTACATAGTACAAGAATTTTGATGATTTATTGATAAATTACATCAAAATTCACTAAAAACTTTGTTAAACACCTTCAACCAACTAACTACGAGATATAATGATAACCAAGATCAGTATAAATCTTAGGCTCTTGAAATAAGGCATATTACACTGAATTAAAAGAATGTTCCGGGAAGTTAATAAATATATAATATACGTGTAAACAAATATGAATGATCAGGATAAAAGCGTTTATCAAAATACAAAAATTATGATAATAGGCGGGAAAATAAGTTTTTGTTTAACATAAACAAAACAAATAGAAATAACAATATGGATTGATGACACATTTACGGATATGAATATTAAAATTTTAAAAAATAGATAACACCTGGAAGAAATATGTTCAACACATTAAATCGTAGTGTTTGAATTCTTTGAGCTAGTAGCGGAGCATTCACTATCATTTTGAACATCACTAACCCCTACATCACGTAGCTGATATTGTTCAGGACAACAGTGAAACATCCACAACAAATCATTTAGTTCAAACAAATTCACTAAAATAAAAGCATCCACCTGAGCGGCAAAATTCCCTGATACGGTCGAGGGTGGCGAAAGTCAACTCTCTCGAAATGCTCACATGGCAACGTGTATACAGATACTTACTGATTTATCGAAGTGGGACTATTGTTTACGAAATCGAGAGGATGAAAAGCAAATGTCTGACGCCTTAACCGCGTCAGTGGGTTTGGAAGATCCATCTGGAGGAGTTGGAAAACCATGACTCAAAACGAATAGTGTACATGGGCTTCAGAATCCCAAGGGATTTAGTGGCGTATGAACCTTTTGTTAGTCACCGATTACCATGAGAGCACATCTACTAACGTTTCCACACCACCTTGTGGATTCGAATTCTAGTTCAAAGGTTTGGGGAGTGACTTCTTAAGAAAACCACCTGATTCGATTTTGGTGCCTGATCAGTATTACAGCCCTAACACAAATTGAATGACGAAATGTTGTGCATATATACATATGATCTCTGCTTTCTTGTATCAATATTTGTGTTTAAATAAATAAAAATAGTTTAACACTTTTGTGATTAAATAAAGTGATATAAAAATTAAAGTATTTGTACCAATGTTTGTGTTTAAATAAATAAATAATCATTCCAACATTATGTTTCATCTTCACTACAGTGATCATGAATGACTGAATGTTGTATACCAATAAACAGATTTTCTAACTAACAATTAGCTTTTTGTTTAGATTGATCTCGATGGGTCAAAAGTATGGTTTTTTTTCAACGAAAAAAAGCTATCCGATGTTTCCACTTACAAAGATATTATCAGTTTAAATCATTCATGAAGTCGGAAACATACTGTCGAGTCATATTCTAAATTGTTCCATTGAAAACTTATTAGCACTCACGAAACAGAAAAAAAACAAAGATTGGGTAGACATTTAACAAAAGAAATATCTACTTTGATTTCAACAAGATTGTGACCATGTGGAATTTTGATCACTTGAGTTGATCCAAAATGTCCATGAATTTTAATCCATGCATTTGCTGTCGATGTTATTCCACTACTATGCTTTCGACCAGTACATATAAATATTTCGTAGATAATTTCAGTTTGATTAATCATTCGTGTAAATGAAAAATAATCGACAGCATTTAATGATAATAAATGTACTAAGAATTGTTCACGTTCTTCTTCACATCTTAAAAAAGCATATCTTGTATATAAGTGCCTAATATTAAAACAAAATACACGTAAAATAGAATACGATAAGATAGGATAATTATATTGTCTTTAGTAAAAATTAACACAAACGGTTAAATATATAAATATAATAAACAGCTTAATGAATTTTTGCAAAGTGTAATTAATATTTAGTTAACCAAAAAAAGAAGGGGAAAACACAAAAACCTCCATTTATTTCGATGTTACTTTAATTAGTAAGTAAATTTATCTAGTAATCGCAATAGATGATGATTTTTTTGTTAGAGCGCTTGACCTTCAACCACTAGGTTACAGATTCCTCTTCCATCTCCCTTTAAATTTATTTCCGGTTTGAGTAAACGTACAGTGATAGTATTATTAAATTGAACACAAAAAGTATAGAACATAACTAAGTAGATGAAATTGCACAAGTGAATAGGTAACTTATTCACGGGTTCTAAACTTATTCCACTTACTTTTTTGGTAGCCAGTTATAACTATTATTATTAACACTTAAAAGTTTGCCAGTTATAATCATAGTAGCCCAAGTTACCACACTATATTCGGACAATCAGATAAAACTAACAAGATTAATAGTAAAAGAATCGAAATAATATGATGGTAGTGATATTGAAAAGACATAATGAAAAGGTATGTGTATAGGGGGTAGGTAAGTAAGATTCAAAATTGAGATTAAGACAAGTGGAAAATGAACCTATGACACTGTGACTGGTTCTGAGCCGTGTCAACGAGGGTCGCCAAATAATGTAGGTCATGATAATTGAGTAGACCCCAAGCTTGGTAAGTCAGAGCCTATGGCTTGACATGACTCAGAGCAACAATCAATAACTTTATGAACTAATACCAAGTTTTGGACTAGCCCTTCTGGAAATGTGACCCAAAGACAAGAACGTGAAATGATACGTTTTTGATGAGCAGTAGTACAATTAAAAAAAACAGTTACTATGTTTATAAAATATGAAATATAATGGAGCCTATTTATAAACAGTCATACCTTAAAAGTTTAGTATCCATTAACAGACGAGTAAGATGTGCAGATAACAACTTCTTTTCTAAAGCTAAACGAACAAATGCTCTGGCGAAACCAATATCTGTTTTAACAGTTTTCATTGATTGAATTGAATAAATATCGTCAATTAATGAATGTTCAATGAATTTTGACCCAAATATTTTACGTAAATCTAAAATCATTCCAGCACCACTTATATTTATTGGAGTAAGTGATCCACTGACATTACCGACACTGCTGCTCCTACTACTACTACTATTTCCAAGACTATTGTTATTAGAAGATTGACCTAAACGAGATGAAATTGGACTGGGATATTTCTGTCGAGATGAAGCACTTTGAGCACGATTAGAAGAAACACGAACGTCTAACATTTGAAGTTTCGTTCTCCAATTATTTAAACTAGATAATAATTTTGGTGAAAAAGTAGATGAAGAGGATATAGTGGATGGATAGTATGGATCTTGCCAAGGAAAACGTGAAAATCGGTGAGAAGATGGAGTTGTTTTAGATAACTGATTAGATTCCATCATATGTACTGCATCATTTGAAAACTTGCAGACACGTTTCAACGAGCCGCAACCTAAGGAAATAAATAGACAAGAATAACAGTTGTTCCAAAGGGAAAGAAGTGATTACAAAAATATACTTTGAACCAATTGGCAGAATCTGACAGTTAAAGTATTTTGTTAGAACCGATGAAACCTTGATATGCATTTGAATGAACACATACTAACTTATGATTTTATTATTTTAAAAAATATGGCATGATGAATATTTAAAGTTGTACTGTTACAGTTAAAGTGAAGTAATCTAGGAATAATGCGTTTCTGCTTACATTAATGTGAATTTGACTAATACACCCAATAACCACGTTCGAACAAATTTATAAGCAGTAGAGATGAAAATAGTAGGTCCAAATGGCATACAAACAGAAACAAAGCAAAACTAATGTCAATTATCGAGATATTATGTACTTTGGAAATACGAGAAACTTTGTGACATAGCTCAGTTAAATAAAAGAAGAGATATATTGAAACAGAAAGATTCGAATGTATATAATAGATTCAAAGCAAAATATGTTCGAATCAATCATATTGTAAGATACACTATTTTAATAAAAGTTATGTAGAAATTGTTGAACTAGTATCACATTATAGGCAGATTTTAGTTAGACAACCATTGGAAAACAGAGAGCACTGAGCAGATGCTTCGTTTGCATATGTGTTTGACTATAGTTTCTAATTATATTTGAACACATAAACATTGGTGCAAGAAGGCACAGATCATATGTATATATGCACAACATTTCGTCATTCAATTTGTGTTAGGGCTGTAATACTGATCAGGCACCAAAATCGAATCAGGTGGTTTTCTTAAGAAGTCACTCCCCAAACCTTTGAACTAGAATTCGAATCCACAAGGTGGTGTGGAAACGTTAGTAGATGTGCTCTCATGGTAATCGGTGACTAACAAAAGGTTCATACGCCACTAAATCCCTTGGGATTCTGAAGCCCATGTACACTATTCGTTTTGAGTCATGGTTTTCCAACTCCTCCAGGTGGATCTTCCAAACCCACTGACGCGGTTAAGGCGTCAGACATTTGCTTTTCATCCTCTCGATTTCGTAAACAATAGTCCCACTTCGATAAATCAGTAAGTATCTGTATACACGTTGCCATGTGAGCATTTCAAGAGAGTTGACTTTCGCCACCCTCGACCGTATTAGGGATGAGTATGATGGGTAACGATTTTTGCAAAAAAATTATCAATTAATTGACGGTTAGTATAAAAACGGTTTAACAGTAAGGGAATATTCTTAATTGAATAATTAATTTCATATTAATTTTTGATTGTAAGGTATTCACACAAACTTAATTTACCCTAATTTATGTTAATAAAGAGACAAACTAACTAACAATTAGTTTGTAACAACATAGCAGCTACAATTCTTAAAAGTGGTCGCAATTAATTACTCATTGCAAGGTAATAATTCTTCAATGGAGTGGAATATTACACATAAATCCAAGTTGTTTTTCCAAAGTCACTGTTTAAAGTCGATGATAAATGAAGGCATGTCATCAACTATTCTTTGAACGATCACAAAATTACAATGACTGAATCAAATATGTGTTTATACATTTAAATATTCTAAGCAAGGAGGTACGTATTAGGCAACTAGAAAAATCTGAATTAATCTACGATGTCGAAAGCTTTGTAAACTATCTATTTGTAGAAACAAAGTTCTCAATTGCTAAATTAATAATTCCCTTTCTTTAAAAACATAGATTTATATTATTATTATTTAAAGACAAATTAACAAAAACACATTTGTGGTAAATTTTGTAATAATATTTCAGAAATTTATAAATCCTAACTAATAACGTAGCTAGATTGACAAAGAAATCTCCATAGTACGATAATTGCTGAAATCGACTTCATGTGATACAATTTTGATAGACAGAGAACACTACTTGGTTGGTTATAAACAGCTGGAAAAAATGGATTTTTAATCGAGTAAACGATGAGTGAATGAATGGATGAAATACTGGCGATCGGTGTTATATCTCGAGACCGCTGACTAATGTCGCGGACAAAGTCACCAATCAGAATTCCAATTTGGTCTATTTCACGTTTATTATTTCTTCTAAAGCCTGATACCTCCCAAATTGGCCAATTACTCGCCTGACCGGCATCAATGACTCTAAGCACTACCTTGAGTTCGAAAGATAGGAACCAGGTTTTATCAGAGTTATATCTCAAATAGATGCGATTTATATGCAGACATACTGAACAGTAACACACCATAAAACGAAAAATAACAATTATACATAAACAAGTCAGAAAAGGTTATAAATAGCAGAGGCTGTGAGTAATAAGACCAGCAACAAATTAGGAATAGTATATTATATGATAGTAGTCAATGGGTTAACCGAAAGCTAATAACAGACAGAATACACAGATGTAGTAATCTAGTTACTTATTAATTATACAATAAGACTACATATAATAATTATCCGTAAATTAGTTCTAGGAATTACTATTCCTTTAATCTTTGTTCTGATATAACGGCCGAATAGTGGTTTAAACTAATCATCAACTCAAGAGGCTAGAGAATAAGAAGGTAGACAAAGACTTAAGTTTCGAAAACATCATTTTTACAAAACAACTTTAAACCATTTTATAAAACCCGGATAATAAGTAAACAGGCTTTCATAACTACCAGTCAGTCAATCAGCCATAAGTGACGTAGAACCTAGCACATCTATTTGTGTTGATTAGTTTGGGTAACTTGAACTGATTCATGAACGTAGTGAATTATACGTTTCCTACGGCTGACTGGCACAAAAAAAACGACAATAGATAAATACACATGGTACTAATCAGACATTACCTGAATAATTTGTATCAGTTTGTGATGACTTTTGTTGCAAATCAGGTGATAATAATGGCGAATCCGATGGTTGGAGAGAATTCTCACTGCCAACATTAACACTTCGTAGGTCAGATATGCGCGGTGAACCACTACACGATGATGATGTAGGAGGTGATGATTCAAGGTTGAGTAATTCAGAATCATTTATTTCTAATTCTTTATTAGTTTGTTTCATTAATTCAACACGTCTAGCATAAAAAACTAAATGTGACCATAAAGCTGATTTACCCTTTATCAAAAAAGAATACACAGAAATTTTCAGAAATCTTTTTAAAAATGTTATAAGAACTAATGTTCATAAGCATTTTATGTACTTATAATGGTATAATCACAAAGTAGATCGACAGAACATACATTTGTTAATCAAAACTGTCATTAAAATAATAATCAAATATTTAGTTGTAATGCTTATGGAGATTAATTGAAGGTGAAATTCTTTTTGCCGTCAATTAAAACCAACTCAGAGAATTATTGAAAACAAAAGATGATCAATGATCTCCTTAAGAATCCAACGAACACAGAAGCTTCAAATATTGCAGCTTGTTCGTTAACTTTGGACCATGTCAGGGGAAGGAGGTAGTTATCTACTACTAACATTCAGCTATGCAGGCATATATTGCAGCTCTGTTAAAGTGAGTAATGAAGACTATTAAACTTAAACCCACTGCTGGTCGTAAAGCATGAGTTCCTGATGTGGTTGTTAATATTTGTTGCTGAGAGGTTTCTAAGACAAGACATATTCACAGTTATTTTTAGTTTTTAATGGGTTCTCAGTTTACATAAATCCATGGAATAAAACCAGATTAAAAATAATTAAATCATTACGCTGTCAAATTTATCAGAAGGAGGTTTTGTGGAGATCGTAGTAATTTAATAGTTGAGTTCATGAGTCAATTAAAGCTTCCAAGTTTTTCATGGTAGTCTAGCTTTAATTGATTCGTGAACTCAACTATTAAATTTATCAGAATCAATTTCGTAAATATTCAAAATAATGAGTACCATCAATCGTACTTCACCAGTAAATGCAATTTGAATGTATTACGTAGTGTCAGAACGAGTATTCCTTCTGGATTATTTGCTTTCTGGACATAATGAAATCACCTTTATTGTAAATTTGTAATTTAAACAAATAGTTAGAATTTTAATCATCTAACATATAGGTACATATTTTTTACAAGGAGTTAAAAACAATCTAACTTTATCCAACTTTAAGTATGTACTTTATCCTAGTGAACAAAAATATTGTACATATCATTTTGAAAGCTGTTAGATACAATCGAATATAAAGTGGACCTTTCAGAATTGTTCTAAGGTGGATTATTATACTGGGCATTTACAAAAATATTGGGCTTACGGTATATTTATAATACCCTAATTATAAGCTTTCATTTAAGTGGTTGACTATTGATGTCTTTACCCATCCATGAATTACGTTTAATTGATTATGTACCTGTTACTCAGTTTGTATCACTAATAACATAGTCATTTGTAGATCGTGATTTCGTATTTATGATGCGTTGTGATAGTGTAATTGATATAACTGACGAGAGCATGTAAAGTGTGCATGGTTTCTTTTGATGTGAAGTCTATCCACAAGTGTTGCACTGATAAGATTGATATCCCGGAGACTAAAAAGAATTATTGTTGGTATAAAGAAAAAAAGAGTGGTTTCGATAAACAGGTATGGGTCATAGGTAATTCAATAAACCCGATATCTCCTAATATTTCTCTAGCACAAATAAAAAAATACCAGAATCGGAGATTCGATCAAACGACGATGCTGATAATACTTTCATCATATGCAATATAAGAAACCATGTCGTTCAACTGCTTAGATATTTCACTTTGGCTCATACAAATTTAAAATTCATATGGGAGCGCGAACTATGGAATAAGAATTTCTCAACCTTAGGGACAACAAGAAAAGATAATTCAGTTTTAAAATTCATTACTCGTAAAATTTCCTGAAGTGATTATTATTTGCACTTCAGTGTCTTTTGTTCAATCACACATATAAATCTCATCAGAACGTTGTTATTGAGAGTAGTTGAACTATGTTCCAAAGACTGATTGAAGAGTAAAGTAGAAATCATCCGAAGAATCTTACTGGAAAATTAATACCTCATCAAGTTTCAAATTAGCACTTCAAGTCAATAGTTGAAATTCCACTATAAGCCAATGTTTCTCACACTCCGATTTAAAGCGATAATCTTAGCTCTTAGAATAGCCGTCGACTAAGGATTCCATTGGTCTTTCCTGTTAACAATTCAATTATCACATATAAAACGAAGGGCCAAATCAGTATTTTCGTATCGGAAACCTCAAAACTATTGACTATACTATCCTGTAAACTAGTTAAATCTAAATCTAGTCCCATTATTTCTCATTTGTTAATCAAATTAGAAGAGTTAAAATAGAAATGATCTATGAAACTGGTAGAGAGAATTATTCATTGAAATTAATTCAAATGGAAAACTTTACAACTAAAGGTGTGAGAAATAAATTATCCCTATTAACAATAAGCATATGTACACATTAACAGATAAACGTATAATTTAAGTCTGTGTTTTACTCACTATTTTTTTATTCAAACCATGTGACCATATACGTTCCAGTAGATCACATAAACCAGAAACTAGTGTATTTTCTTCAACTACAGAAATATTTGGATCACAATGTCCCATTTCAACTGCTTCTTGACCAATTTTCTTGAGAACCATTCGTTTAGTCTACACAACATATGAATAAATTAATACCATTGTGTTAGGGATTAAATAAAATATTCTGATAGTTAAAAGACAAAGGTTAGATAACACTAAAAATAGAACATTTATTTATTTAAACATAAACATTGGTACAAGGAGGCACCGAACATATATATGCGCCATAAAGATCAAATGGTTTGTGTTAGGGCTGGGATGCTTCCCGGGCATCCATACCGAAGCGGGTGATTTTCTTAGGAGGCCACGCCCTGAGCCTTCAACCTAAGGATCTAATCCACAAGGTAGAGGGGAGCAACGTCAGGAGATGCAGTCCCATGGTATCCGGCGACCAATAATTGGTTCATACGCTATTTGTTCTCTAAGGATCCTGGAGCCCATGTGTACTATTGGTTTGGAATCAGGGTTTTCCAACTCCCCTAGATAGATCCTCTATATCCACCAACCCGGTTGAAGCACCGGACATTCGCTTTTCGTCCTCTCAATTTCGTAAACAAGACCGCCGTGAGAAGGCAGTGAGTAGCTGTATACACGTGACCATATGAGTATTTTGAGACAGAGCTGACTCTCTTCACCCTCGGCCGTACCAGAGCACTTGAGCGCAAATGTAGAACATAATGATAAGTTATTTATTTTAGGGAAAAACAGAAATGCCAGATATTTCTGATAGTGATAACAACCAACTAAGTTTAATGTTGAATAATGATATCATAACAGTCCAGTTCTACATCAGGTTTAAGCTGTTAATGTCGTATGGAAAGACAAAGAAAGCGTTAGGACTAAATCACACATAACAAAGAATATAACTTTGCCAAAATAAGATGAGTAACAAATAAATACAAAAATTAATGTCACGAATAGTGAGATACAAGCATAGGAAACGTCATCAGTCAGTCAGCTACAATTTAGTACCAGGAACATATATTTATTTATTTATTTTAACACATAGATATTGTAACAAGGAGGCACCAAATACATATGCGCCACACAAATCTCATTCGATATGTGTGAGGGCTGTGACACTGCCCGGGTGCCCAAACCGAAGCAGGTGGTTTTCTTAGGGGGCCACTCCCCGAGCCGTCGACCTAAAGGTTTGATCCACAAGGCAGTGGAGCATCGCAAGGAGATGCAGTCCCATGAAAGCCGGTGACCAAAAATTTGTTCGTACGCCATTTCTTCCCGTAGGATACTGGAGCCCATGTGCACCATTGGTTTGGAACATATATGCGTCGGTCTAACTTGCCATACCTCATTGGCATAGCAAGATGAACACCGAATTCATAGAATTAGTTACTTCAATGGTAGTAATGTATAAAAGAAAGATTGTGTATAAGGATATAATACAGGAAGAAAGAATTAGTTGGTAGAAAGAATGGTATAAAGTAATTTTAATCTCACGATTTAAGGGAAGACAAGCAGTGTATACACCTACGCCATTGTGATCGATTCTGAGCCATATTACCCAGAGTTTCCAGCAATTGTTTACGATAGTCGCACGGATCCCAACCACGTAGTCTGCATCTGCAACATGGCTTAGGCTAGAAGTTTATGACTTTATGGACTGATGCCACATTTTGGTATGGCCGCCCCTAACTTTCTCCCAACCGTCTCCGACACTAGTCAACATTGCACGCCGTGGTAATCGGTGTTCAGGCATACGTAACACGTGACCCAACCACTTTAGTCGATGAAGATACACAACCTCCAACTGATTTACCATCATTCCCTAATACCCTGTGTCTGTCTAATCTCACTATTACTTACCCGGTGATCCCAGCAGATACGAGCAATATTTCTAAGACATCTGTGATCAAATATTAGTAACTTACGAGTATCTTCTATTTTCAGTGGCCACGTTTTGCAGCCGTAAAGTAGAACAAAACGAACTGCTGCGCAGTATACCCGTCCCTTAATTGATAGACAGATATCTCGCCTTCGCCATAGGTGACGTAAGTCGGCAAAAGCCGAACGAGCTTTTCGAATCCGTGCTGAGATTTCGTCAGACACCAACCCATTAGGGCTGATCAGACTTCCAAGATAAGTGACGTTGTCTACGCGTTCGACCACTTCACTCCCTATCCTTAGTTCAGGTGCTGATGCAGACCAGTCGTGAAGTAACTACTTGCATTTAGAGGGGTAGAAACACATCCCAAATATCCTGGCATTGTTGCTGAGTGCTACCAAAAGACTGCATTTTATCAGCGTCTTCACCAAACAGAACTATATTATCTGCGTATTCTAAGTTGATAAGTGGACCTTCTGGAAGGAGATCAATACCCGAGAATTCAGTAGACGAGAATGTTATTTCCATCAATAGGTCTATTATGAAGTTAAACAAAAATGGAGAAAGTGGACAGCCTTGACGGACACCACTTGAGGTTGCGAAAGCAGATGACAGTTCGCCATAAGTTCTGACTCGACTGTTAGTGTTTAAGTAAAGAGCCTTCACAGGGTTTATGTACTTTTGAGGTACGCCTTTCAATGACAGACACTGCCTCAGAAACTTACGGTCTACGGAGTCAATGGCGTTTTTAATTCAAAAAACAATATCATTGTCGGACGCCGATATGCATGTCCGTGCTATAAAACCTGACGAATGGCGAATATGTTGTATACGCTGCCACGATAAGGTCTGAAGCCAGTTTGATTTTCTCGTGCTTGCGTCCGATAATTAACGAGGCTAGTATTTTAGATGCTATATTAGTCAAACTAATCCATTTATGATTATCATAGTATCATTTTGACTCATATGTTGGGATAATTACTGATTGTGACCAGTCAGATGAGACTACATGCAGTTACCAGATTTTATCTAAATTATTAGTCAACCTAATCGCTAAAACTGGACCATCATACTTAAAGACCTCTGAAGCCAATCCATCTGGACCAGCTGCTCTTCCTTGTCTCAAGTTAGCTATGGCTTTTCGGACTTCAATTAGAATCGGAGGCCTACTACAATATTCCATTCAGTCTGTTTGTGAATTGTGGGTAGTTGTAGAGTAGCTGAAGGTCAGCTGAATTGCTCCTTAAAGTGTTCCACCCATCTCTCTAAAAGTCTTGGCTTAGAGCAGATAAGAGTGCTTTTTGAAGAAGTTTAGAAAGTTTTCTGCAAAAGTTATCTTTCACTTCATCCGAACTGCAATCAGTGGGAGCGTAGGCAGAAACTACGAAAAGGCGAGGAAGTGTGTCCCTATCCTTCCGAGTTCTTACTCAGCCGTCTAGCCGAACAGCACATAGGCGACTGTTAACGGGGATCCATTTCAACAGTGCTTGTTTTGCCCTCGTACTCAGTGCTATGCTTATACCCTCCAGTCCATGAGAACTAGCCATCGGGTCACCAGATACACGAATGGTGTATCTCGTCGGCTCTCCGTTTCGCTGAGGTGACGTCAAGTGAACGATCACACTACGATCCTGTATGCGTGTTTCGGAGACACAGCACACATCACTGGTACAATATTCTAGGGTTTTAGCTAAGGAAGCCTGCTGACCGATTTGACACAGAGTATGTGCGTTGAAGGCCCCAATGTGTAGTTTGGATCGAGGTTTCAGTAGACCTGGGACAGTGTTTTGCGCACTTGAATCGTTGGACATGGTGACACTTGAGGAGGAAGCCGAAAAAGGAAGTTGAGAGTTGAGAGTCGATGTAGGAGGAATAATGGAAATTGAAGAGAAAGGTTGATTATGAATACAGTGGTCTTGAGTGCTGTTAGAAGTATGAGGGCGGTTATCACTTCCCGGTTGCCCACACCGTGAAGGGTTCTTCTGGAGGTATCTGAAAATGAAATTGGATTAGAGGCGGTCTTAGAGACCAGAAAGCGTGATCGCAGTGGCCAAGGGACAACTGCTTGAGGCCGATCGCACACGGCGTACTTGCTAGACCTTGCCGCCGGGGACGGATATCCATGGGATAAGGCGAGATGTGCATTTTGGGGTCGACCTTTTCTGATCCCACCCGTCTTTGTGAGAAGACAGCATCGCTGTCATGCTGGTTGTCTGAAGGAAACACCTAACTGCTGTCACACCTCTGTACAGTCAGCAGTACGACTTCGCCTTCGGACCTTGTGTTTGCTGCTTTTAGTCTTCGCGCTCTTCAACCGACGTGTCTGACATGGTGGGACCTTGAGGAACGATTGTTCCAACCAGTATAGCTCAGTTGCTTCATCACGATAGGCAAGCCCGACCATCACGTCAAGGTAGCAACAACGGTCGTGACAGGATAGTCAATACGATAAAAATGGTGACTAACTAATCAATCAAGAAAAACATTATGCTTGCTCACTGAGGTTAGAGACTTTTTAAAAACAATCGGCAGAACAAATCTAGATATGAATGAATTGGCTTAGATATGTTTTAATTATAATTTACAGTACAAGCCGGACAAGCGTAGAACCTGTTAAACCAAAATCACATCAGTTTTATAAGAAACCAACAGACAGACGACCATATACAGATGTTAGGTGGTTGGAAGTAGTCGACAGGAAGCTGTGGTCAATATTGGTTTCAATGTAGTTGGTACTCATCAGTAAGGAGTACCTGTTATCTTGAAGCAACTGATATTTCTTGCGGAATTCAAACCCGGGTTACTCAGCTTCACAAGCTGAGACATCACCACAGAGTAACTTGGACCAAGACTGACCTTTTTTAGGACTGAGTTATTTGCAATCATTAGATTATTGAGTACGGATCAATGTCATATGTTTGGTCATTTTATACTGAACTAACTGTTGATCAAGTTGAAATGTGGTCACTAGTTTACGTGACCAACAGAATTCAATTAGCACCAAAAAACTAGGCAAAAAGACAATGGTTGCTATTCGGTAACCAATCAATTGTACACCATATAGCAGTTATAATCACAAAGTAACTTCGCCCCGAACCAACTATCAATATTGAAATAAACTAAGCACATAAAAGGACATCGTTGTTGTGATTACCCTATGCTTGCATTCTTCGAGTAAAGCATCAACAAAATCCCAATTAGCTTGAGCCATTCCATTACGTTGTAAATCAGCGAATTGATGATGTGTATGCACAAAACAACGATTCACTGATTTTGTATTATTTCCATTGGATATATTAGAATCCTGAAAAATAAAAGTTAAAAAAATAAGGTATTAGTAGTAATCATAATAAGTCTAACTACCTGATTCAGTGAGATTGAAAAAATTTTATACGATCGAAACTTACACATATAAGAATAATTAATTACAAAATAGCTATTGAAGTTGGGAATGCAACATTAGACACTAATGGTCGAGCGTTTACCTCGAGACATGAAGACACTAGGTTTGAACTCTGATGGGGCCGCAGGTGTTGATTGTTCAGGCGTCCCACACTAGGGTGAAATAGCTATCTAGTTCTCTATGGTTCTCAACTGTAATCAGTCCACGACGAATACAACTAAACTCCACAAAAACTACTTCTCCCATAAATAACCATCTTCTTTGGTCAATATAGGAAGGATAGACTGTTAAAGATTAAATATTCATTTGTAACAGCGTTATCTTTTATTTATACTTGGAAACAAAGAATCAATACAATTCCTACTACGTGAAGTAATAACACAAAAGACTGGTACAAGTGAAGATTCATTAACTCCAAAAATACGATTATTCTAGCCGGAAATATACTCATTTGTACATGTACTTGTACATCCGTTTGATTATTAATTGGAAAAATGTCACATCAATTAAACTATAAAAAAATCGCATGCTCTATGTCATGCTTAAAATAGTTCACGTTGATCTAAACAAAAACACGTAATTTAGATGATTGTAGAATGGATATTTGAAATAACTGCTTAAGAGAACCTTATTAGCAGACACATAATTAAGATAATTGATAATAATATTTTTCCTATCTATATGTAATTTTCACCAACATTGAAGAGCAACAAAACAGGTGGGTAGAACACTTCAAAGAACTCTTGAATCGACCAGTTCCACTGAACCCACCCAACATCGAAGTAGCACCCACGGACCTCCCAATCAATGTTGGCCCACCAACAATTGAAGAAATCACCATGGCCATCAGACAAATCAAGAGTGGCAAAGCAGCAGGACCAGACAACATCTCAGCAGAGGCACTAAAAGCAGACGTAGCGGCAACTGCAAGGATACTCCACATTCTCTTCAGCAAAATTTGGGATGAGGAACAAGTACCAACAGACTGGAAAGAAGGACTTCTGATCAAAATACCGAAGAAAGGCGATCTCAGCAAGTGTGATAACTACAGGGGCATCACTCTTCTCTCAATACCGGGAAAAGTCTTCAACAGGGTATTGTTAAACAGGATGAAGGACTGCGTAGACGCCCAACTTCGTGACCAACATGCAGGATTCCGTAAGGATAGATCGTGTACAGACCAAATCGTAACTCTACGGACCATTGTGGAACAATCAATTGAATGGAATTCATCACTCTACATCAACTTCATTGACTACGAAAAGGCATTTGATAGCGTGGACAGAACAACACTATGGAAACTTCTTCGACACTACGGCGTGCCTCAGAAGATAGTCAATATCATAAGGAAATCATATGATGGATTACACTGCAAAATCGTGCATGGAGGACAGTTGACAAAGTCGTTCGAAGTGAAGACCGGTGTTAGGCAAGGTTGCCTACTCTCACCCTTTCTCTTTATCCTGATGATCGACTGGATCATGAAGACGTCAACGTTTGAAAGGAAGCGCGGGATACAATGGACATCTAAGATGCAGTTGGATGATCTAGACTTTGCAGACGATCTGGCCCTTCTATCCCAAACGCAACAACAGATGCAGGAGAAGACGAACAGTGTGGCAGCAACCTCAGCAGCAATAGGTCTCAATATACACAAAGGGAAAAGCAGGATTCTCCGATACAACACAGAATGCACCAATCCAATCACAATTGACGGAGAAGATTTGGAAGATGTAAAAACCTTTACGCATTTGGGCAGCATCATTGATGAACAGGGTGGATCTGATGCAGATGTGAAGGCGCGGATCGGCAAAGCAAGAGCAGCATATTCACAACTGTAGAACATCTGGAGCTCAAAGCAACTGTCAACCAACACCAAGGTCAGGATTTTCAATACAAATGTCAAGACAGTTCTACTGTATGGGGCAGAAACCTGGAGAACTACAAAAGCCATCATCCAGAAAATACAGGTGTTTATTAACAGTTGTCTACGCAAAATACTTCAGATCCGTTGGCCGGACACTATTAGCAACAGCCTACTATGGGAGAGAACAAACCAAATCTCAGCGGAGGAAGAAATCAGGAAGAAGCGCTGGAAGTGGATTGGACACACATTGAGGAAAGCACCCAACTGCGTCACAAGACAAGCCCTCACATGAAATCCTCAAGGCCAAAGGAAAAGAGGAAGACCAAAGAACACATTACGCCGAGAAATGCAAATAGACATGAGAAAAATGAACAAGAATTGGATGGAACTAGAAAAGAAGGCTCAGGACAGAGCGGGTTGGAGAATGCTGGTCAGCGGCCTATGCTCCATTGGGAGTAACAGGCGTAAGTAAGTAAGTAAGTAAGTAATATGTAATTTTAGTACTGTGTATGTCACAATTCGTTGCAATTAGTAAAAATTTAACTAATAACAGATTTCTGAACCCAAATTTAAATCACTGTTGTAAAACTGGCAATGTCTCACGTACCAGATACGAATTCAAACCAAGCCCTAAGTGTGATGGCTAGTGATAATAACTAGTTTTCTAAACCGAATTAAGTAGACGTGGGGTGAACCTGTGAATTATTAGCTGAAAGTCGAACCCCTTGACTACTGAACCACTACTTTATTCCCCTAATATCGTTTGGCGGTTCAATCGAAGTGAATGAGACAGGCTTCAAACCTGCAAACGACTCTAATGAGTCAAAGTCCAGTGTATTTTAACTACTAAGGCATCGGGAACAGTGTAAAAACGAATCAAGTAATCTAATAGACCTTTCACTTGAAGTGATATAACAGTGATTGATTAGTTTAAATATAGATTGTTTTTAGTAAATGAAGCTACAATGAAAATACATACGCTTCTGTATTTATCTACTTAATTAACTTTACAACATTCTTACAATTCTTCATGATCATTGTTTAATGATCACATAAAAATATCTGGTGATTTGATTGAAAGTAGTGCAAATTTTAAAACCATTTAGATGCATAGTTCATATCTGATGAGCTATGTACAATAGTAACATAAATAAAATGCTTAATACTTGACAATAGCGTCATATATCAATTTACATGAGTAAAAAAACTTCAGTTATCAATATATGATCCATAACACCTTTTAATAATAACCATTTTGTTTACTAGTGAATTACTTCAAGAGATGACCCCCGGAATTTTAATGAAAAGTTGTGACCATTAAAGTTCAACCAAGTCAGGCATGCTGCAAATATTGTAGTGAACGAACACTCGGGTGGGGATAACCAATTTATTATTCAATGCAAAGTTGCAGAGTGCTTTGGTAAAATATGAATACCATACATTAAATACTTCAGTTGCACATTTTCCTCCAGTTGTCTTTTACATGATTCATGATTCTTTCAATTCTGTTGTTACCACAATTACTTTCTGTCTCCCCCTCTATTATCTTCAATTGCATCATTTTAATCTTCTGCTAGCATGCATTTCACTTTCGACTAGTGCCACATACCGCTTATATCTGTCAACATAAGTAGCATACACCATAATATTACTAATGACAATGGATGGTCACACAATATTGTGAGTTAATTGCAGTTACAAATGAAAACTAAGAGATACCAACTTAGTGGTCTCATTGTTAGTCACTTCCCGAGAGGTCTGAAGCTCCTAAAGTGATTCCTGGTGCGACCATAGATGTGTACTGCTGGAGGGTCTAACACTAAGTACGATAAGGCTGTTTAGTGATTGGTAGCACTGCTGATGGTCTTCTAACCAAAGTCAGTCTGGGACGTGAAACCTCAAATGAAAAATTGGATTTAAAAATTTATTTCATTAATCTTGTCGATCGTTTTGGTTAAAGTTGATAAAGACAAACATACTATATGAATTAATAATCAGCATGAGTTACAATAAATTGAAATCTAAACTTTTTGTATTATCCTTACGCTATTGTATAACATACTTCTCAATGGATACATTATAAGTCTAACATGGCTAAGGTTATCTGAAGCGTTTTCAATCTTCACTAATTGCGTTGTATCCAACATATAGACTCACTTATCGGATAGTCACTTGATATTAAAATATACTTTTTATTGGTGATTTCATTTCAAGCCCCAATGCTTACTGTATTTGTATCTCTTATCAAGCAAATCAGGTTCCACTACATTGGAAGATATGTCTATGGTGGATAGTTAGGGATTATTTCCCAATACCCCAAACTGAAATCTTTAATGAAAATTACATACTAATTTGTAGAACTACTCATACACTAAACAAATAGAAAAAATATCGAAATTAGCTGGCCACAACAAACATTAAAGAGATTGCGGATAATCTCGAGCGTTAAAAGTTGTAGCACATTTCATGTAAAATTCATTCGTCATTTTAGTACGGGTAAATCATCGAACAGTGATGAAACAACTTTCAACTATCATTTCGTAATTATCTATCATTTTTAATCTAATTAAACAATAAAATTAAGTCAGGAAATACATATCTAGAAACCAGAAACCAGATCTTTTATCCTTTGAAGTAATTTCTTTAATAGTAACTGTCTAAAAACAAGGACGATAACACATCAAACAAACAAAAAATTGCTAATGCTTATCTAAGAGGTAAATGTTAAACAAAAGAGAGCATCAAATGTAGCCATCATCAGTAGGAAGTTTTCATAGGAATTTTTTGAGATTAAATTAAATAGTTAAAAGAAAGAAAAATAGTCCTTACCACATTATCTGATTTATTCAAATTATTTAAAGCATCTGTATTCATAGTATTGATGATAGAAGATAAAGGAACAATTCGTTTAGTCGGTGTAGACATGCAACCAATCGGATTACTTGATATTAAACATTGAGACGCTAATGTTGATGCGGCTTCGATATTGGCTGATGGCGATATAATATGTCGACTAGTTTTATCTGATTGTGAAACAGCATTAAGATAGTAGTGATTTAATGAAGGTGATGTACAGGAACCATGTGTGGATAATAATGAACACTTATTACATTTTGATTGTTGACTACTATTATTACCAAAAGGATTGGACAAAAAGTGTTTGTGACTTGGAGACATCATTGTCTCTGCAGCTGATGACGCATACGATCGTAGCATGTGATTATTTAATGTTGGAAATTTACCAAATTGTTGTTCACTAACGACACTGAATGATGGTGATGATGACGATGGTAGTACACATTCAGATGAGTGAACTGATTTCGATGATACCTGATTGTAAGTAGGTGGTTTGTTGTTGGTAGTGATAATTGGTTCAGTTTTAATATCATATAATAAGTCTGGTAAGTGATCTAAATTGAATAAATAATTTATTAAGCAAACTGAGTTCTATAATCTCTAGTTAAAATGAAATAAATTAGTTAAATATGTAGTGATTACTTGGGATATTTTATCACACCAGTTAGAGTAGCTATAAATATGATAATAAATATAAAGCAAATAGAAACAAAACAAACTCCATATGATAACTTTATGGGAAATAATAAGGCATTCAATGTTCATAGAAAGATAAAAAATGAGGTCAATAAAATGACTACAACAATGGTTCTTATACATACCTCTCATTAAATCGAGTGTTGAAGGAGGGTATGAGGGTGATCATCGCTTTCCAGTTCCCTACTGTGTGGAACTATATTTCTTCTTGAGGTGTCTCAAACGGCAACTGGATAAGTAGTGGTCTTAACGAACTAAGCGCATGACCGTGGAGCACAAAAGAAAACTCATTGACGCTGGTCAAACATGGCCGTTTGTGAGTGTCTTTTAGTGTGTTAGTTTTGGAATTTTCAGATCTTACCACTGACAACTGGTATTTATGGAACTAGGTGATGCACTCTGATTTTACTATCGACCTCCTTCAGACCATCACTCTTAAGAAGAATTTTACGATTAACTATCAAAACAAATTGGGGATTAAAATTAGAATGTAAGATAACTGATGCAAGTTTTCCAGTGAAAGAATTCAACGATTAATCTGTAAAAATTAAACTACCATATACATACCACCTCCCTAACCTAACATCTTTGTCATGTAGATAACTGAACATTACAATTACTAGGTAGAGATAAATACAAAATTCCAAGTAAAGAAACTTGAACCATTTCATTTTTGAAGTGATAGCAAACGAATTTTGTGTAATTATTAAAATTTCAATCATATATACTTGTACGGCATAACAGTCACAAATTTATCTCAGTTAAGTTACCACTTATAACCAGGAAGCACGGGATATTTGTTTCGTTCTGACATGGGACTCCTCAGCAATACTCACGCATGACTTAACCACTTAAATCTCGGAGCGGACGCTCAACTATTTGAACCCCTGGGTAGGTAGTATCAAATCAATTTTGCAACAAAATGCGACGATCAATCTGTAGTGAATAAAACCTATAAATAATACCAATCTCAACAAAACTATGTGCATTTATAGAAATATCATACATCAATGAGGCAATTACACTCACTATTATTATTAATTTGACAATTTACATTTTCAAATATTGGCTTAGAATTGAAATCAGGAAAATTTGAATTGTACTGAAGTTGTTGATTATAATCAAACATCACATCATAATTAATGTTTTCTGGTAATAAAGTTGTATTCATTAAAGTATTATTATTATTGTTATTACTATTATTAGATCGAAATATTGTTTTTCGTTCATGGCGTGATCTTGACAGCAATAAATGAAAAACAGTTAAATGCATTGGTGGTGAATTAGAATTATGCATAATTTTATTGTGTGATAAATTATGCCATTTTATACGTGAATCTAGAAAACTGGCAAACATTTGTGTTTCTAGAAATGCACTTAAAAAAGGTAAATGTGTTTCTGGTTGATCACTTAAAAAGCCAACTTTATCAAATCCATGTAGACCACAGGAAACATTTCCATTATCTGGTTTTTGTCCATTCTTATCTAATATTAAATAATTTTCATAATCTTGAAATATCATTGTAAAATTGGCAAGAAATAAATTTCTTATAGCTGCATTTATATGTAATAATTCGGTATAACTTGAATAAACCTGTATAATATGAAAGAGGAGAAAAAATAGCGATTAGTTCAAGTTATCAAAAACGAATTTTGATTAATCACAAAGTGTAATATTACGTTAAATAGTGAATTTTATGATGTAAGTCGTCGATTCCTGTAATTCTAATCAAAAGTTAAAGATCCCGGGTTCGATCTTCCGTAGAGTCATGACTGTGCACCAGTCAGAGATCCTATACTAGGACGAAACAGCAGTCTATTGCTTCCTGTGTTCGATCGGTTATCTAGCCAAAGACAATCCGCAACACGGAACATAAGATACGACAGTCTTCACAATACACTGCCCTCAAATATCCTGGTACGGACGAGAGTGGGGAGAGTCTGTTCTCCCTCTCGAAATGCTCTCACATGGCCACGCATATACACCCACTACCAGGGAAGTCCTACTCACTGCCCTCTCGCACCAGGGGTATTGTTTACGAAATTGAGAGGACGAAAAGCGAATGTCCGGTGCTTCAACCGAGTTGGTGGATATGGAGGATCTATCTAGGGGAGTTGGAAAACCCTGATTCCAAACCAATAGTACACATGGGCTCCAGGATCCTCAGAGAAAAAATAGCGTACGAACAAATTATTGGTCGCCGGATACCATGGGACTGCATCTCCTGACGTTGCTCCCCTCTACCTTGTGGATTAGATCCTTAGGTTGAAGGCTCCGGGTGCGGCCCCCTAAAGAAAATCACCTGCCTCGGTATGTGTGCCCGGGCATTATCACAGCCCACACACAAATCAAGCGCCTTGTATGTATTCGGTGCCCCTTTGTACCAATATTTATGTGTTCAAATAAATAATAATCAATAAGAAGCATTAGTGTTTAAATACAACTAATGCATTATTAATGGTTAGTATCTAATTGGTGTGGATTGCGTCGCATAGCAAAATCTACCAGAATAGAAAGAAAATTTAAAGCAACGAGCACCGATACGTGATTATTTTATTTATTTATTCATGAAAATGTTGGTACACAGGGGTACGAAAATAAATATGCACCACACAATAAAATGAGATTTTGAAGGAGAAGGAGCATAATCATATATAAATATTTTTTTTAAAGTCGAGTGAACGGAAGTAGTGGATAATGGGAGGAGCGACCTAGTTAAGGAAAATGCAACCAAAAAGAATTCTTTCGGTTAAGGAAGTTTCTCTAACTTTTATGAAGTAAAGGAAAGTTATAGTAGGACCATCACTGACTTCTATTTCAAGCCATGTCTAATAACACGTTCATAAATTATTTTTAATGTGCACTAATTTTTGATGAGTTTTGCCAAGTGAACGCTATATTCGGTTCCTAAGTATTCTCGTAACATCCAAGCTAGGACTACACAGCAACCTGAAGACGACAGGAAAGGAGCAAAATATGCGAGAATCACTACTCCAAAGGTTCGTTTTAGTGCAGAAAATATAGGGTTTTTATAGTATTTTAGATGTCCTTGAGTTTCCCGAAAATTCTGGAATGCTACTAAACATAGTAGCAGTATAATAATCAGCCAATCAGAAACCCTACAAGTGATGTTTTTAGCTAAACTTCAAGTGAGCGCTGATTGGATAAAATGTTTCTTAGTGTTTCCTGAGCCTTTCTTGTCTTTTGCGAGAAGTCTTCTGGATCACCCCATAAATTTTACAAATGTTTTATGCAGTCCTGTAACTCAGTTCACTGGCATTCTGTTAAAATTACTTTCGAAAATCATACGAGTTCAATTTTTGCAGTAATTCAATAAGCGAGAGAGATTATAGCGCAATCAATAGAAGAGAAATGTTAAGAATAGGAGAAACAAAATTACAGAGTTCACAAGATCGGGAGTAGCATTTCGTGAACTTGAATCATTAACATTGGTGGAGCGTGGTGATAAAAATTCGCGATAAGGGTTAACCATGGGGGTAGGAGAATAATTAAGAGGTAAGGCAGGGGTATGATTGTGAGCAAGTGGGTCTCGGGTGTTGTTAGAGGTATGAGGGCGGTTGTCGCTTCCCGGCTGCCTACACCGTGGAAGGATATTTCTGCTCTCGGATCTTAAGTTTCTGATTTTGGCCTAACTGTTTTCCATTAGACCTGCCGAGCACGGCAGGAACTAAAGGAACATGTGTCCCAACCAATTTAGCTCGGCTGAGTCATCAGTAGAAGCAACCCCGACCATCATGTCAAGGTAGAAGCTTCGGGTAGGCTTAATGAAGATCCCTATTAGAAAACAATACTGTTATAATTTACATAACGAGAACATTAAATGTAGTAAATTAAAACATAATTCTAAAGTTTCACACAAAATTGTTTAAAACCATAACTTCCATAATAATTCAGTAACAAAATGAAAATTTCTAACGCAAAATAATCATAAGCCGTTAGATACTTACCTCTTTCGAAATAATCTGTTTAGCTGCCTTTGAACAAACTTCAAAATAGTTTATTTGATTTGTACAACTATTGTCTGATGCACTAACATTATTGCTATTATTGTTGCGTATGTAGAATTGTTCTTGTCGTTGCCTATCAGCATTCTCCGTAGATGAATCATTCACTTTTGCTATTGTTAATTCATCTTGATCACAAACTGATTGTGATTGGTTGGAACGAGTCAAAGATACTTTCTTATAACAAGAATTATGAATACGGTTAAATTGATGAAAATATAAGAACATTCAACATTAACGTAGATTGATTAATCGAAATTTTTTCAGTCAAAATAGTTTCTTAAGGTTCATGAATAAAAATTTATCTTACAGTATATAAATAACGAAATAATTTCTAATAAATGCTGTAGAGACAAATTTGTTTACTTCACTATGCACAGGATATATAACTAAAAGTAGGTTGCGCTAACAAGTGTCAAGCAGCATAAAACCTAGGTTTAGGGTATCCTACCGACTACTGATTGATATCAAAAGATGGTGAACATGATGTCGAGTGACTTGACCTAGTGCTTAAACTGCAATTTGATTGATAGAATTCGACCAGCACGCAAGACCAGACAAATATGACATTGGTCGCTAGTCACTGATCAATATGAAATCTCTGTAAGTAAACAGTTCAAAGAAGAATACTATGAAAACTAGATCATATCTGCGAGTAGCAATTTTATTCATTCATTTCTACAAGAAAGCAAACATTCTCATTTAGATATTTAGCAAACAACGAATACACATAAGACATATTTCTGTCCAATAAGTCTTACGATGGCTCAACACTGTTATACATAAATAACATAGAAAAACACACCAGTCAAGTGGTGAAGTGTCATACAGTAATTTTACAAATTCCAATGCATATGAACATGACTGAATAATAACAGAATAATTAGAAGATGGAATGGACCAATTGATTGGTATTCTACGGTATCAATTAATAAATAAACAAATTGGGATGTGATTTAGGGACTGATAGTGGGAGAATCTAAGTCTATTACAGAGCTGTGAATAAATTTGTAGCAAGTTAGCGTTGGATTTATGTAGTTTTACCCCCACACATTGTAGAATATCGCTTATCGTACTGTTATTTTATTATATTTAACTTTCAACAAAACTTTTCTCATCCCATTTCATTCCATTAAATGACCAGTTCTAAATTAGTAATAATTGGTTAGCCATTCTTGAAAATTGAAACCGTGCAACCTCTGCTGATTTCGAAGCAGCTACATTCAATGTTGTACACTTCGTTTATCTATCTTATGAGAAGCACCTGAGTTCGCAAGACGTTTTTAACATGAGCCACAAAGTGTTTTCGCTGGCCAACCCCCAAAATATGTAATGTACCCATTTATATTGTAAATGGTAGGTTATTACGTCAAATTGAAAGCTCACACCATGTCACTTGGTGGGTTTTGTGAGAATGAAATTGATGACGAAAACGATTTTCGGTATTTTTTCTTCGCAGATGCCGATTAGATGAATTTGACATGTTGTCTTCTTGATGTTGTTGGTTTTGACAGGACCTACAAAACTAATAACGAAAACTTATTTTCATATCGAAATGTTGCGTTATGAATTTAATAGCCTTTATAAGTCATGAAACTTTTACTCCGCTGTCACGATTTCTATTATTCTTCAGGCGCTCAACTAACAACCGACATTTGATTGGTATTGTTACGGATGACTCGCCGGCGATAGCTGCTGCTGTAACAGAAGTTTATCCGAACTCGCATCGCATTTTATGTCGTTTACACTATATTCGCGGTGTTATAAAGAGGGTAAGTTACTAATTGAATGCGATTAACCTTAAATTGTAATTGTAGAGGCTGCAATCTGAACTCTTGCAACTATTCTTCCGTCTGATGTTCACTCGAAACGTGGACAGGTAAATAAAAATATTCAGACCTTAGAGTTCTATGTACTTTCCAAAGCTATCTTTCAGTTATTGAAGTGCCAGGCGGGATTTTTACCGATATATACGAGATAACTTGTTGCCTAAGAAACACAAATGGTTTAATGCGTTTCGATTGGCTGAGACACTTATAGAACCAAATAATACTATCTTCGCTGAAACAACGCACAGAATTTTAAAGCTGCACAAACTGACAAGAAAAACACCCGTGCTGAGATCCATCTTCAATGTGCTTCTCAAGACTGGAGATTGAATGGAAGCGCGAGTTCAGAGATACACATCAGAATGTCATAAGACAATTATTGGTCGGGTGCCCCGAATACGTCGTTTCACGTTTTGTATTTTGTACGTTATTTACGTTCATAATTTGCAGAAAAGGTGATCAGCCGAGAGATATTTACCTGTTATATCAATTTTCAGAAATAACTAACCAATTATTACCAGTTTAAAACTGATCGTTTAATTGGATGAAACAGAATGAGATTTTTATTGAGAAGCAAATATAATAAAATAATCGTGCGATAAGTGGTATTCATCATATTGTAGATGAGATACAATTATCACTGTCCCCTTCCCAATCGAAATGAATCAGAAGAGAATACGGTTCAAATATGAGGTGCATTAGATATTTCATTGCTTCCATTCATCCTTAATAATTCACCTCAAGATAAAGAAAACCGTCATAATATATGAATGTTTTTAATAATTTCCCCGTGCTACTTTATTACTAACAATGTATGCACATACTTAGAGCTATATTGAATCTAATCGTTCAACTGGTTTAGTACAATCGTAAAATAGACAAACTGTGAATCAAAGAACCACAAACAAATTTCTACTCATTTTTAAAATTTTTCAACTGTTAAAAATGAGCAAGAATAGTATGAATAATAGTCATAAGTCAAAAACTAGATAGACAATAGTTGCATCAGTATAACGAATGCCAATCATCTTTACCGTTGTATATTACCCAAAGACGTTCACTTGGTTAAGATAAACAGTGATCCATCTTTGGTGACATCACACAGTCTCTTCTAGAGACTGTACCGTATTCTAATTGATATTCGGTAAACATTAAAACACGAAATTAACTTACAAGTTCATACCTCAAAAGTCAAGAAGTAGAAAATACTACCATATTGCATTAATTATCATCATGGTCAAAGTAGCATGTAATACTTACTCTTTGAAGTCCAGTGAAATTTATCAGTGAACTAGGGGGTTTGGGTCTAGGTACAGGAGCCGCTGTATGTGGTGTTGTACAACTAATAGGTGCAGTAGTCTGAGAAATATCTGTCAAATGCTGAACAGTATTCTGTTCGGTTGTAATCTGATTATTGAAACCTGAAAAGTGAACCGATACGCAGTAGTTATGAATAAAAAAATACTAATCGTTGGTATATTAAGATAATAATTACGACTCAGTTATGAATAAAAGCGACAATAGTATATTAAATAAATAAAAATCCACATAGATAATGAAACTAACTGTATTTGAAACTATCCAGAGCTATCATGTTAATTGTAATTCGAGGAAGAAATCTAAAAGTTCCTTCTAAGGAACGTAATATCATTTTGCAAATACACAAACTCAATACCATTTTTTTAAAGTTATACAGACTTTCCGTTGGGGCCGAAAGAGAAAATGTTTTCGTATATTCATAGACGATCAAATACGCATCATAGATTCATAAAACATTTACCTTATCCAAACGAAAATAACTAATCCCCAAATTTTAAGACTAATTACAAGTTAGCAATGCCTATCCTATTATAACACCGATACCGTTGACGAAAGTTCAAACACAATTGTAAATGTTAAACCTTTAGAAGTTGGTTAAAAAAAGATTGACATCATCACATAAACTGAAATTCATTTTTAAATAAACGGAATATACCCCTTAAGACATAAAATAAGATAGGTTCAGAGAAGAGTTCCCTTTTCGGTGAATTCGTTTTCAGAGCTGAATGATAGTTTTATTATTTGTGACAACAAATCTGATTTGAATTATCTTCTAAAGACATTTAATAACTGTCACCCAGCAATAAATTTCAAACTTGAATTTGAAAACAAACAAAGTACTCACTTCCTTCATGTTGAAATGACAAGCGAACACGACGGAGCTCTAAAATCAATCTACAGGAAACCCTTGTGGAATGACCAATTATCAAATTCCCACAGCTGGGTCCTCATTAGTCAAGAGCGAAACTTAATCATATAACTCGATGGGCGAATACGAAGAATTTGCAGTCCCGAGGTCGTAGACAGCGAACTAAACCTTCTCCTTAAGAAAATAATTATCGAAAACGGGTAGCCTACGGTACTTATTGGCAATAAAAAGCCACCATGGTCTTAATCTCTCATAATTTTCTTTATTCTTGATACCTTCCATCCTTCACAGACATCTGCTTCCCTTTCTATCCTCTCTATAGATCTTTTAACCCAACTGTTTTTTTTGTTTCTATGATCCTACTGATTACAGATTATCTTAATTCCAACATTTTAGCTTATCATAATAAACCTTTCATTTCCAAATATAGTTTCCCCATTTATCTTCATGATGAATATTCAGGTCCTTAACGATAAAACTATTATTAGTTTCCCTGATAAAAATAAAGTTTTAATAGCTTTGTTTATTCTACCCCACTGTTACTGTGATGAACGAGACCAGTGAAGACAACCAAATGTATTTGAATACATTACAGAATATATTGGTAAAATCTGATAACCATAAAGTAAATACTTCATTTTCAATCGTCTCAGACTTGATTGTTGCTTCGTTTCCACACCAACCACTTCCTGTTTTTGTTCTCTTCTCTTTAATCTTCTTAACCTTCTGCCGTCATGCATTTCACTTTCGACTGGTGCTACATACTACTTATATCTGTCGACATCAGTAGCACACATCACCATGTTTAACAGAATTTTATTATCACTATTATTGTAACTATTATCACGCTAAAAAATAAGTCTATATGAGATTGTACAGTTTTGAAGATGAATTCGCCGAAAAGAGAACTCTTTGCTGAACCAACCTTCCTTATTTGATGAAATTCATTTACTTGTAAAAGTTTGGGGAATTTTCGATGGTAAACTAAAGTGATCCAATGGATTGAGTGAAAGTACCGGTTTAATAATCATAACTTATGCTTATGTGAAAATTATTAATTCACCATAACAAACCCAACTAATATTAGCCCATTAAACAGGTGAGCCTTGTTGTGACTTGATGAGCCGCTTGTTATCACTTAATCTATTCGCCAATCAAAATACGACTTATTCGCTCTTATACTGTACTAAACCAATGACGTTCGACCGATATGAGCAGCCTAGCGTCCTTATTGGTCCTATGTCCGCCTAGCCCGTCCAGCTGAGTCCAGAATGCCAATAACAGCTTCCACTATGCGAATAATTTATTTCAAACATACTGTGTTTATATATCAAACAAACAGACCGCAATGCACCATAAAATAGGAAATAACATTCATACACAATAAAGCCAAAAAGTGGCTGTGAACGTGGGAGGCAGTAGTTAATAAACTGAACACAGCTTAAGAACAGTAAATCGTACAATAATAATATATAGGTCAAAATAAAGCTTATAACTCCGCCTGGAGTCCCTCCGGGGGCTACTGCCGGTCCCAAGCCCGGATAAAGGAGGAGGGTTGGGCATGGGGTTAGCGTCTCCATCCAGTAGAAAACTAACTCGCTAAAAAACGCTAACCAGAAAAAATTATTCAAATCTTTTAAACTCTGCCTCGGGAGTCAGAAGGTCTTCATTTAGAAGAATTATGACGCCTCATGATGAAAGCCGAATTCCTTCGGAAGTTACGAGGCCGATGCCCCTTCTGACAACCAGAGCGACCATTTATTTAGGTACATGGAATGTTCGTACAATGTGGGACACCGGAAGAGCCTTCCAAATTGCTGCAGAAATGAGAAGATACAACCTAGAGGTACTTGGGATCAGTGAAACACATTGGACACAAGTTGGACAACAACGACTAACTACAGGAGAGCTCCTGTTATATTCCGGCCATGAAGAAGAAAATGCACCACATACACAAGCAGTTGCATTGATGCTGTCCAAACAAGCGCAAAATGCACTTATAGGATGGGAATCTCATGGACCAAGAATCATCAAAGCCTCTTTCAAAACAAAGAAAGAGGGCATTTCAATGAACATCATCCAATGCTATGCGCCTACCAACGACTACAATGAAGACGCTAAAGATCAATTCTACAATAGGCTGCAGTCAATCGTCGAGAAGTGCCCAACAAAGGACCTGACCATTCTGATGGGAGTTACAGAAAACTCAATAAGAGACAATATGGTTGCTGGCAATGTACAACGAAAAGAATGTACATTATTCAGTTGTTCATTCACTGAAGTGCTAACATCTAACTGGCGATTCCTCAATATTTATCGCCAGGACCGACCAAGAAGAAAGAAACGGAAACTTGTTGAAATACTTTGCGCTGAGAATTCTATATTGTACCAAAATTATAATATTGAATAAAGCTAATAATAATAATAATAATTTCAACGCCAAGGTTGGAACGGACAACACTGGATATGAAGACATAATGGGACGACACGGACTGGGAGAAAGAAACGAAAATGGTGAGAGATTTGCAAATCTATGTGCCTTCAATAAGCTGGTCATAGGCGGCACCATATTCCCACATAAACGCATACACAAAACCACATGGACTTCACCGGATCACTCTACACAAAACCAAATCGACCATATTTGCATCAACAAAACGTTCAGGAGGACTATAGAGGACGTGAGAACCAAGAGAGGAGCTGATATAGCATCAGATCATCACTTACTGGTCGCCAAGATGAAATTGAAACTCAAGAAGCACTGGACAACGGGGCGGACAGTATCACAAAAGTTCAATACGGCCTTTCTCCAGGATACTAACAAACTCAACAAATTCAAGATAGACCTCAGCAACAAGTTCTAGGCCTTTCATGATCTACTCAATGGAAAAGGAACTACTGTGGAGAGCAACTGGAAGGGGATCAAAGAGGCAATCACTTCAACATGTCATGAGGTCCTGGGTCACAAGAAGCACCACCACAAGGAATGGATCACTGTTGATACACTGGATAAGATTCAAGAAAGAAGGAACAAGAAGGCAGCGATCAATACCAGCCGAACAAGAGCAGAAAAAGCCAAGGCACAAGCTGAATACACGGAAATAAACAAACAAGTGAAGAGGAGCATCAGAACCGACAAACGTAAATATGTGGAAGATTTAGCAACGACGGCAGAAAAGGCTGCAAGAGAAGGAAACATGAGACAATTGTATGACACGACAAAGAAACTCTCTGGAAATCGCCGCAAACCAGAACGACCAGTGAAAAGCAAGGAAGGCAAGGTAATCACCAACATTGAAGAACAACAAAACAGGTGGGTAGAACACTTCAAAGAACTCTTGAATCGACCAGTTCCACTGAACCCACCCAACATCGAAGTAGCACCCACGGACCTCCCAATCAATGTTGGCCCACCAACAATTGAAGAAATCACCATGGCCATCAGACAAATCAAGAGTGGCAAAGCAGCAGGACCAGACAACATCTCAGCAGAGGCACTAAAAGCAGACGTAGCGGCAACTGCAAGGATACTCCACATTCTCTTCAGCAAAATTTGGGATGAGGAACAAGTACCAACAGACTGGAAAGAAGGACTTCTGATCAAAATACCGAAGAAAGGCGATCTCAGCAAGTGTGATAACTACAGGGGCATCACTCTTCTCTCAATACCGGGAAAAGTCTTCAACAGGGTATTGTTAAACAGGATGAAGGACTGCGTAGACGCCCAACTTCGTGACCAACATGCAGGATTCCGTAAGGATAGATCGTGTACAGACCAAATCGTAACTCTACGGACCATTGTGGAACAATCAATTGAATGGAATTCATCACTCTACATCAACTTCATTGACTACGAAAAGGCATTTGATAGCGTGGACAGAACAACACTATGGAAACTTCTTCGACACTACGGCGTGCCTCAGAAGATAGTCAATATCATAAGGAAATCATATGATGGATTACACTGCAAAATCGTGCATGGAGGACAGTTGACAAAGTCGTTCGAAGTGAAGACCGGTGTTAGGCAAGGTTGCCTACTCTCACCCTTTCTCTTTATCCTGATGATCGACTGGATCATGAAGACGTCAACGTTTGAAAGGAAGCGCGGGATACAATGGACATCTAAGATGCAGTTGGATGATCTAGACTTTGCAGACGATCTGGCCCTTCTATCCCAAACGCAACAACAGATGCAGGAGAAGACGAACAGTGTGGCAGCAACCTCAGCAGCAGTAGGTCTCAATATACACAAAGGGAAAAGCAGGATTCTCCGATACAACACAGAATGCACCAATCCAATCACAATTGACGGAGAAGATTTGGAAGATGTAAAAACCTTTACGCATTTGGGCAGCATCATTGATGAACAGGGTGGATCTGATGCAGATGTGAAGGCGCGGATCGGCAAAGCAAGAGCAGCATATTCACAACTGTAGAACATCTGGAGCTCAAAGCAACTGTCAACCAACACCAAGGTCAGGATTTTCAATACAAATGTCAAGACAGTTCTACTGTATGGGGCAGAAACCTGGAGAACTACAAAAGCCATCATCCAGAAAATACAGGTGTTTATTAACAGTTGTCTACGCAAAATACTTCAGATCCGTTGGCCGGACACTATTAGCAACAGCCTACTATGGGAGAGAACAAACCAAATCTCAGCGGAGGAAGAAATCAGGAAGAAGCGCTGGAAGTGGATTGGACACACATTGAGGAAAGCACCCAACTGCGTCACAAGACAAGCCCTCACATGAAATCCTCAAGGCCAAAGGAAAAGAGGAAGACCAAAGAACACATTACGCCGAGAAATGCAAATAGACATGAGAAAAATGAACAAGAATTGGATGGAATTAGAAAAGAAGGCCCAGGACAGAGTGGGTTGGAGAATGCTGGTCAGCGGCCTATGCTCCATTGGGAGTAACAGGCGTAAGTAAGTAAGTAAGTAATCTAGTTACTGAATATTTATACCATAAGAATATATAAATAATATTAGTCCGTTAATAAGTCTCAGACGTTACTCGTAATGTAATCTTCACTAGGATATAACAACCCTGATCAATCAATATTTATACCGCTAGGTTAAACTGTTATGAATAAAATCTGACTGAAGATAAGTAATAACTTCATTTAAATGATTATTTGATACCGAAATGTTGAATAACACATACATTGTAGATAGCATACGTTATGAACTGGTTATCAGCTGTGAAGCTACTGGATTCCAAGGAGAACTAAACAGCTGTTTCGTCCTAGTACGGTATTCCTCTACTACAAGACACCCAAGGACTGAATTAAAGATCTTGAATTTTTATGGCGACTACTGTAATTAGCAATACCTGCTTCATTGGCGGTATGATTGAACATATTAAGGAATAGCATGCATATCAATTTTGTAGGTTTAAATCAAAATGATCATTCTAAGGTAAAGAACACTAGACTCCTAACTCACAAGATTTTGCGACATAAACAGCTCACTATAAACCGATACATAAGTTATGTCAATAAAAATGTAAACTAAGTAAGGCTGAAAATCCTGATCATTCATCGAAAACATTGTATCACCGCCAAAACCAAGTACAGTCAACATTATCACGTCATGCTACTTCCAAACCGACCTGTTTAGTGCGATGAGACCTCGAAAAACAAGTATTTCAAGCAATATGACTTGATTAGGTTAGTACAATATGCAAGTATGATCACCTTATTAAAGTAGCAACTACGTTAGAGAATTATAAGGCGAAAAGTGGTAAATATGATATTCTTAATGCGTTTCTAACAGCAAAGGTTTTCTACAAGATGTTTACGTTGAATACTGTTTCTTCATGAAATATATATACATATATATAGTAGAAATGTCTGGATAAAGATCTCTATGTAATAAAAACAAACATACTTCTTGATAGATGTTTAGCTAATTTTAAAATCTCTAATAAAGATTGTTTGGTATCTTGACTATTTGGAAATTCAGGAATTTCATCCGGCACAATAACTCTTCCTTCATCAATATAAACATAACAGACGTTTGTCTATTTAAGGATTGAAAAAAAGAAAAGGTTAAAAAAGAATACACGATGGTATGTTTTTATCTTTAAATAAATATTAGTGAATAAGAGTAGAAAAGTACCTGGGCTGCAAATGCTTAATCATATGTCTTCGAAATACTGTTCACATATTGTTGACTAACGAGTGAACAATGTTGAGGTTAGATGTATGGAACTAAGTAAAGATGACAACTCGCTTTATGAGGTTGTAAATCTTCAATGATTGTATTTGGGAGCATGTGTTACGCGTCCCTAGTCACCCACTAACTTGACACACAACAGAGACTGGGGTAGGAGCATGAAATAAAGTTACGGCAGTAAAACCAAGAATTGAAATCAGCTCATGAAATCATTGGATTTTGGTATGAACCATGTTGGTAGACGTACTCCACCTGGTTGCAATCAGTCCAATAACCATGACAAGTAGTCGTGTACATTGAGTGACATGACAGAAATCCATTTATTTATTATCCTTCCTCAAATCTTGATTCTTAACCCGTCTTTATAAATACCTTATTTTCGAACAATTTCTTATATTTAGACTTTCTTAGTACTGTTGATACCATAATTTCGATCCCAACATTCCTTTAATGGCATAATGTAGAAAGCTTTGTAAATTAATAAAACAAAACTGTACAAAATATTTAAAAGGTTAAGAAAAAAGTACACAAATCACGTATATAACAATAAAAACGAAAAAAGCATAGAAATTCTACATACTTCACTAGCTAACTCAACCGAAGGGGAGTAGAAATATTCTTGTGTATGATTATTTGAAACGTATTGTTTAATAAATGGATATTTCTCATTATGATGATGATTATTATTATAACATGGATCTGGTATGTTAATACCCATGATAAATGGAACAGGAGCATCGACAAAATGAGTTAATGATACTGGTAGTATTGGAGCATATACATGTAGCCAATAAAATGGTAATAACAGACAAGTAACACATTCAGCAATCAACATCAGACGATAATACACTAAGAAAAATTATGGAAAAAAATAGATTATATGTTAGTGAAAGGAATATAAAACACAGCTGTCTAACTCATCAGTAAAACATTTATTACTAACGGAAATAAGAGAAAGCCGATTGGACTGCACATACACTACGTTAAATACTATTCGATATTTCAATAGTTGAGATCATGAGTCAATTGAAACTAGACCACCATGGAAAACCTGGAAGCACTAGACGGCCGTCCTAGTATGGAACTCCTCAGCAGTGCGCATCCACGATCCCGCCTCGTGGGATATCGAACCCAGGACCTACTGGTCTCACGCGCGAGCACTTAACCACTAGTGCTAATGTCTAACTTCAACTAATCCACGAAATTGAGCGACACATCCACCATTGTCATCAGTGAGTTACTATCTCACAACTGACCCAGTTGAACTCCACTAATCACTGCTTCTCACTAGAACTCCAGGATATACATCTTGAAGCCAGTCACTAGTGAGCACAATAGGACGAAACGGCCGTCTAGTGCTTCCAGGTTTTCCATGGTGGTCTAGCTTCAATTGACGCATGATCTCAACGATTGAAATTACTAAAATCTCCACTGATCGATATATTGGATGAAGTGAAAAGAGAAATTGATTGACTCATAAAAGAACTATTACCGGAAAAACGATCGAATGTTCAATCAGTTGAAATCTTAGATAAGTCAAGAAAAACACTAAATCAAATGCAAATGATTTAACCAATAGTGTGGTGACACGAATATCCAAGAATGAGTAACTTTTGGGAATAACCTACAGGTTATTAGTACATAAATTCTTGTTGTACAACTATTAGATAACTGTGTTAATAGATTTTTATGCTTCCCTTATTGTAAGCTACCAGTGGACTCATTAACCATTGTTGTACAAGTTCTACTATCCCATAATGATGGTTGATGAATTATTTACCTTTTTTCTTCGTTCTCTTCTATTTTTAAAGCAGTTATGCCTACACTGTAATCACATATTCATACAGGTGCTATGTCAGGAAACTAATCTATGTTCTGGTATGGGTTCATTCACATAATATGTACAACTGCAACACTGACTGATATGATCTATCATCGGACTCAAGATTATGGGTAGAAGGCATACATATCAGTCAACGAATAGGAGTTAAGATTTTCTCAACCTCGATGTGAACCGTTCAGTCAGGGTATAGTAATGGTCAGAGCTGAGAACGCTAGGTGATAGCCAAAATAGTATACGCGCGGTAAAGAAATATGACAGGGTTCTTATTGACGAGTATTCTCTAGATATCGATTAACCTGTCTCATACACAACAATTAAAGTGATAATATGAGCTTCTGGATAAGCAAAATCTGAGACTAAAGACGAAACAATTTTACATACTAATAATTACAAAACATCTTAACTATGTTAATGAGCCGTTGAACTTATTACTTATTTCACCATTTTAGAAATGAATGTCTTCATTAAGAAAAAATTATTTTTTTCCCGATACGAATCGGATGAACTTTAAACATTGGCGCCAAATTTCGCTATGGAATTCCTGAATGCCTTTTACGAATAATTAGTTTGAATAACGTTCGTCTGAGGATCGTCGACGGTTTGATTCATTCAAAACGTTTGTTCATAACTGAAATCACGAACCGATCTAAGCTAGTCAAGGACCGAAAACCTGGAAGCACTGGATGCCCTTTTCGTCCTGTTACGAGGATCCTCATCGGTGAGCACCTATGATCCTGCAAACGAGTCCTTAACCTCTAGACCACTGAGCCGGCAGCCAACGATGTTAACGCCTAACCTTAACCAATCCATATCCTACGACAACTCCACCTCAAGATGAGGATCTTAGAGTTCTAATGAGAAACCGTGACCAGTATAGTACAACTTGGTGGAGTGTGGGACAGTTACCTACCGCAGACAATGAAAGGTGGTCATGCAACATCACAGATTGACTAAAGTTAGACATTACACCGTTGGATGCCGGTTGAGTGGTCTAGAGGTCAAGTGATCACACGCGAGACCGAAGGTCCTAAGTACGATTCCCGCGTGAAGGGTCGTGGACGTGCACTGTTGAGGAATCCCATACTGGGACGAAAGGGGTGTTCAATACTTCCAGGTTTTCAATCTTCATCTACCTAAGACGACCTCGTGATTTCAACTGTTAAAATACTATAATCTTCACAAATCCTCTATATCAATAACATTCTGTAAGTGTCACAACAATTATACTCTATCGATATTTTCATATATGTACCAAACGAAAACAACAAGTTACTAGCCATATACACGTTCGTGATATTAGCTCAAGATGTTAATAATGTGAACTGATAAAGGTAATACATGAATACTTAATTCCACTTACAGTGAATATTATATTTATACACACATGATTGATATGACCTCTAGTTTAATTACAATATATTATATACGCAAAAACTTAACCATCAATAATAGCATACCATACACTGAAACCAGTTTTTAAGTCGTTAAATGAAATAATAATCTTAGTAAGCAAGGAGCGAAAAAGTTCATTTATTGTCTTACTTTACCTTTTGAGAACAAAATTATACGATACTCAAGAAGCGTACACGTGAATAAACGAATAAAATCATCCAAATCAATCAATTCAAATAATTCTTCAAGAGAATATTCAAATAATGATAATTCTACATAGTATTTTTGGTTTAGTTGTCCATTCATTAAATTTGCTATAGGTGATATGGGTGCTGAATATGCAAAAAAATGAGAAAAGAAATAACAAGGAAAAAAGCAAACAAAGCTGATGTTAATATTGATCACTTAAAATAACATTATTAAAAGGGTCAAAAATAGTGTTGAATCCAATTGAAATTATTATCTCGATAGAACAATGAGAAGACGGAGTTGGTCTGGATTTATAAATGATAAATGGAATTTTCATTAAGGTCTACATGGTTGGATTATGGATAATGGGAGCAACTGTGCTGTCGAGACTGGTAACTAGTTGATTCCCCTTTAAGCCTAACCGGACTAATAACACTGTCACCCTGAGCATAACGCCAATATCTCTACACATATTGCTCTATGGGCTTCTTCAGAACTTTGTGCACTCATTCATATATATATATATTAGAACAACACATATAAGCGAACAATTGTTTTCAATTAGATCGTCATCAGGCTTTACTCTAATATACATGAATATTTATACGAAAATTTTATTTTTTATTATTCTCACTATTATCAGTTCATCTGTCTTCCTACTACTATCAACTTGTACTTTTACCTATTATGTGTAGAGACTAATTCTATTTCATTATGATGATTGACCCATATTGCCTTGATTGGTTTAAAATTTTCGTATAAATATTCATGAATATTAGAGTAAAGCCTGATGACGATCTAATTGAAAACAATTGTTCGCATATATGTGTTGTTCTAATTTTCACAATGGGAATCTTTAATATCTATATCTATATATATATATATATATATATATATATATATATCAATGGCAACGATACAGGAATTACCCGACCGATACTTCTGCCTTGACGTGGTTATCAGACTTACCTATCGTAATGAACCAACTGAGCTATACTGGTTGGAACAATCGTTCCTCAAGGTCCCACCATGTCAGACACGTCGGTTGAAGAGCGCGAAGACTAAAAGCAGCAAACACAAGGTCCGAAGGCGAAGTCGTACTGCTGACTGTACAGAGGTGTGACAGCAGTTAGGTGTTTCCTTCAGACAACCAGCATGACAGCGATGCTGTCTTCTCACAAAGACGGGTGGGATCAGAAAAGGTCGACCCCAAAATGCACATCTCGCCTTATCCCATGGATATCCGTCCCCGGCGGCAAGGTCTAGCAAGTACGCCGTGTGCGATCGGCCTCAAGCAGTTGTCCCTTGGCCACTGCGATCACGCTTTCTGGTCTCTAAGACCGCCTCTAATCCAATTTCATTTTCAGATACCTCCAGAAGAACCCTTCACGGTGTGGGCAACCGGGAAGTGATAACCGCCCTCATACTTCTAACAGCACTCAAGACCACTGTATTCATAATCAACCTTTCTCTTCAATTTCCATTATTCCTCCTACATCGACTCTCAACTCTCAACTTCCTTTTTCGGCTTCCTCCTCAAGTGTCACCATGTCCAACGATTCAAGTGCGCAAAACACTGTCCCAGGTCTACTGAAACCTCGATCCAAACTACACATTGGGGCCTTCAACGCACATACTCTGTGTCAAATCGGTCAGCAGGCTTCCTTAGCTAAAACCCTAGAATATTGTACCAGTGATGTGTGCTGTGTCTCCGAAACACGCATACAGGATCGTAGTGTGATCGTTCACTTGACGTCACCTCAGCGAAACGGAGAGCCGACGAGATACACCATTCGTGTATCTGGTGACCCGATGGCTAGTTCTCATGGACTGGAGGGTATAAGCATAGCACTGAGTACGAGGGCAAAACAAGCACTGTTGAAATGGATCCCCGTTAACAGTCGCCTATGTGCTGTTCGGCTAGACGGCTGAGTAAGAACTCGGAAGGATAGGGACACACTTCCTCGCCTTTTCGTAGTTTCTGCCTACGCTCCCACTGATTGCAGTTCGGATGAAGTGAAAGATAACTTTTGCAGAAAACTTTCTAAACTTCTTCAAAAAGCACTCTTATCTGCTCTAAGCCAAGACTTTTAGAGAGATGGGTGGAACACTTTAAGGAGCAATTCAGCTGACCTTCAGCTACTCTACAACTACCCACAATTCACAAACAGACTGAATGGAATATTGTAGTAGGCCTCCGATTCTAATTGAAGTCCAAAAAGCCATAGCTAATTTGAGACAAGGAAGAGCAGCTGGTCCAGATGGATTGGCTTCAGAGGTCTTTAAGTATGATGGTCCAGTTTTAGCGATTAGGTTGACTAATAATTTAGATAAAATCTGGTAACTGCATGTAGTCTCATCTGACTGGTCACAATCAGTAATTATCCCAACATATGAGTCAAAATGATACTATGATAATCATAAATGGATTAGTTTGACTAATATAGCATCTAAAATACTAGCCTCGTTAATTATCGGACGCAAGCACGAGAAAATCAAACTGGCTTCAGACCTTATCGTGGCAGCGTATACAACATATTCGCCATTCGTCAGGTTTTATAGCACGGACATGCATATCGGCGTCCGACAATGATATTGTTTTTTGAATTAAAAACGCCATTGACTCCGTAGACCGTAAGTTTCTGAGGCAGTGTCTGTCATTGAAAGGCGTACCTCAAAAGTACATAAACCCTGTGAAGGCTCTTTACTTAAACACTAACAGTCGAGTCAGAACTTATGGCGAACTGTCATCTGCTTTCGCAACCTCAAGTGGTGTCCGTCAAGGCTGTCCACTTTCTCCATTTTTGTTTAACTTCATAATAGACCTATTGATGGAAATAACATTCTCGTCTACTGAATTCTCGGGTATTGATCTCCTTCCAGAAGGTCCACTTATCAACTTAGAATACGCAGATAATATAGTTCTGTTTGGTGAAGACGCTGATAAAATGCAGTCTTTTGGTAGCACTCAGCAACAATGCCAGGATATTTGGGATGTGTTTCTATCCCTCTAAATGCAAGTAGTTACTTCACGACTGGTCTGCATCAGCACCTGAACTAAGGATAGGGAGTGAAGTGGTCGAACGCGTAGACAACGTCACTTATCTTGGAAGTCTGATCAGCCCTAATGGGTTGGTGTCTGACGAAATCTCAGCACGGATTCGAAAAGCTCGTTCGGCTTTTGCCGACTTACGTCACCTATGGCGAAGGCGAGATATCTGTCTATCAATTAAGGGACGGGTATACTGCGCAGCAGTTCGTTTTGTTCTACTTTACGGCTGCAAAACGTGGCCACTGAAAATAGAAGATACTCGTAAGTTACTAATATTTGATCACAGATGTCTTAGAAATATTGCTCGTATCTGCTGGGATCACCGGGTAAGTAATAGTGAGATTAGACAGACACAGGGTATTAGGGAATGATGGCAAATCAGTTGGAGGTTGTGTATCTTCATCGACTAAAGTGGTTGGGTCACGTGTTACGTATGCCTGAACACCGATTACCACGGCGTGCAATGTTGACTAGTGTCGGAGACGGTTGGGAGAAAGTTAGGGGCGGCCATACCAAAATGTGGCATCAGTCCATAAAGTCATAAACTTCTAGCCTAAGCCATGTTGCAGATGCAGACTACGTGGTTGGGATCCGTGCGACTATCGTAAACAATTGCTGGAAACTCTGGGTAATATGGCTCAGAATCGATCACAATGGCGTAGGTGTATACACTGCTTGTCTTCCCTTAAATCGTGAGATTAAAATTACTTTATACCATTCTTTCTACCAACTAATTCTTTCTTCCTGTATTATATCCTTATACACAATCTTTCTTTTATACATTACTACCATTGAAGTAACTAATTCTATGAATTCGGTGATCATCTTGTTGTGTTAATGAGGCAACTTTGACCGACGCATATATTTTCCTGGTCCTACACTGTAGCTGACAAACTGATAGGAATGACAACTAAAATGTCATCTGTTGTGAGTAGGCTTTATTTAAAAGACAAAGGCTTTCTACAAGCATTAAAATAACTGTTTTCAGAGTGGAACCAACATATACTTAGTAAGTTACAATAACAAACACCATGGTACTTGAAGATAATATTTACCTTTATTAGTAATGGTTCCTATTTTACTTGAGGATATCGCTTAGTCATAAAGTGTATGGCTCTCAAATGCCCTGGTACGGGAGTTGAAAAAGCATGATTGCAAACCATTGGTGCACATGGGCTCCAGGATCCTCAGAGAGCAAATGGCGTATGAACAAATTATTGGTCGCCGGATACCATGGGACTGCATCTCCTGACGTGGCTCCACCGCCTTGTGGATTAGATCCTTAGATTGAAGGCTCCGGGTGCGGCCCCTAAAGAAAATCACCTGCTTCGGTATGGGTGCCCGGGAACTATCACAGCCCACATAAAAACCAAGTGACTTGTGTAGCGTATATGTATTCGGTGCCCCTTTGTACCAATGTGTTCAAATAAATAGATGGAAGAGCTGGACGCCCCTTTCGTCCTACTATGGGATTGTTTAGAGATCAGGATTTTCGGTATCGCATGCGAGCACTTGACGTCTAAACCACTGAGCTGGTATTTGACGGTGTAAAGTTTCAGCTTCAATCAATGCACGATATTGCACGGCCAACTTCCATCGTCTTCGGTAGGTGACTGCCTCACACCCAACACAGTTGAACGATACTCGTCACAACTTCTCACTAACACTACAATAATTCCCTCTCAAAGCTATCAACTAGTGGGCACGTGATAATCATCAGTATACGGTTGTGGATATTGTTGAGTTTCGATGATCGATTTATGATTTTAATGAAGCTCAACAATCTCCACAACCATATTGGCAAAAAACAATTGTTCAAACGGTTGGAACAGGTTCCTACATCAATGGAACTAAAGAACATTACAATAATCAAAGTGAAAAACAAATACAAGAAATCATTAACTAACCAGGACAATAACCATAATGAGTCCTGAATGGAGTGGTAAACGTTACATATTGACCAATAGTAGGAAGTTTAGTTTTAAACAACATATCATGAATACATTGTTCCAAAGTGGACTGAAGGCATTTAGTACTAGGAGAAATATACATCATAGCCCACAAATCCTCCAACCAATTAAATAAACCGAAAATGAACGGATGACGAGACAAAAGACCGATAGCCTGGAAGAAATAAGAAATGGTTGCTAATAAATTATGTCACGCATGTGCAAAATAACTTTTATTACCAAATAACAGGAACTATTGTCTTATTACACTATCCAAAACTACCACTTCTTTGTAAATATATCGAATGCAAAATGATCAAATTGTATCAATGACTGTTGGTGAAATAGATTCGTGGTTGCTAGATTAACTGGGAACCTTACCTAAATCAAAACCATATCGCTGTGGAAAATTTATGCTTTAATAGTTCATTATACAAGCATCATTTAGAGATGGATTATTGATCAAAACATATAGCTTTTAACCACAGATATCCAGGTCCCAACCCAGTCCAATCTCTGGATTGAACAACCGGATAATATTATCAGGCTTTCCAAATATGGCTCAAAGTTGAGTGCAAGAACTCCAAATCGGTCACTGGGTTATAACAAAATAATCATACAACTTAGCATCAAGTATAATATAAGATTTGCTTATAAATATTGTCTGTAAATACTAAAATAAATACAAGGTAAGTAGATTTACTACACTGACATGAATTAAGTGTACCCAAATCTGAATTAGTTACACGAGAAAAAAAACTAAAATCAGTCAATCTGTTACTTAAGGAAGCAGAGCTTCTGGAGTGCAAATGTAAGACTCAAGCTTACCAACCCTCTGATTCCAGATACTGGGAAAAGTAAAGCGCAACAATATTCATATATGAGAGAATATGTCAAAAACATTATATGAATGTACTAAAAGTCACTTAACGGCCACAGAATGTTGCTCCGTCGGTTGAAGCTTTAAGTACATAGGTTACCCGAAATGCCCTGGTACGACCGAGGGTGAGGAGAGTCAGCTCCCTCTTGAAATGCTCTCACATGGCCACGCATATGCATCCACTGCCAGGGAAGTCCTACTCACTGCCTTCTCGCACCACGGGTGTTGTTTACGAAATCGAGAGGACAAAAAGCGAATGTCCGGCGCCTTGATCAGGTTGGTGGATGTAGAGGATCTACCTAGGGCATTTGGAAAACCCTGATTTCAAACCAATGGTACATTTGGGCTCCAGGATCCTAAGGGACTAAATAGCGTATGAACCTATTGTTGGCCACAGGCTACCATACGACTGCATCGCCTAACGTTGCTCCACTTGCCTTATGGATTAGACCTCTAGGTTAAAGGCTCCGGGTGTGGCTCCCTGAGAAAACCCCCTTGTTCGGTTTGGACGCCCGGACAGTATTCTAGCCCTCACACAAATGGGATGACGAAATGTGGCGCATATATATTCAGTGCTTCCTTGTACCAAAATTTATGTGTTTAAATAATAATACGAATAAGAGAAGGAAATAAGATCGTACACAACTGATGCCGAATATAAATTCATCCCATTGCACAAGCAAGTGGCTATCAGGACTCAGTAGCTGAGTGGATAACGCGATGGTGTTTAAAGCGAGTGGTACTGGGTTCGAGTCTTGTGAGCATCAACTCTGAGATGCAGGTACACCCAGCTGACGGGTCCCAAATAGGACGAAACGCGCGTCCTGGATTCCACTGCTAGCCACTATCCATCTTTGCTTATGATGCCGAATATATTGACGAAGCCATCAAAGCAATTTTAGCTACAGCAGTCTAAAAGAATAGTCATAGCAAGTCTATTTGATAGCTATATGGTTAAAACTGCAGGAAAATAATGCTATTCACTTGACATAAAGACTAAAGACCGTTCACACCACAAAACGCCAATCAAAATCCATTTGTTAGCTGGCGTCCAACAAAAATACTTACCTTTGTAGTAAAAAGAGAATCTTCCTGACTCCCAAAGCATTCCTTGATAACCCCTGGGTTAAGTTCGTCCTTTGTAGGCGTTGAGAGTCTACGCGACTGAAGATCTGCAGTGTACATCATTTGCAGTGAACTGACTGCCTCTTTAAAGCCTTCATGTGTAACTAGTTCGCAGAAAAGCAGTGCTAAGCCGTGAACACGAGTACCATCTTCCCTAGTAATTATAAAAGTATGTCTTTGGGGCAAATGAAACCGGTTAAATAATGGGCTACTTTGACCAAATATATTGAGACCTTGGGGCATCGTAACCTATAAAGCGATTAGAATTGAGTTAATAATTATTAATACCAATGCAGTGGATTCCTCATCGAAAGGACAACTCGGAGAATATTCAGGAAAGTGTTGAAGGACGCGGCACTTGTAGGGCCGCTCCAGAGGAGGAAGATCAAGATAACCATCACGTTTTTCGCCTGGGAAACACTAGATGCACACTAACCAATAAGATATTACCTGAGCTGAAGATCTCTAGGCCAACACCATAATCCACACCGCAAATATAAAAGTAATCAATTACTTGCTCTGTACAGCACATAGCTAGTGAGTCCTGTAAAATAAATGAAGTAGCAGATTACCATACAAAAATTGCGAGGGGTGCGAGTATGTGTCGCTGATGAGAGCGTAGTTTATGGACGGACCAATAAGACTAGAGATAGTAAGTCGCGGATTTCAGGGCGAAATCCATTCATCTACACGGCCAGATAGCATACTGACATTACAGCTTATGTCAGTCCGTGATGAAAACGCCAAATCTTAATACTTATCCTAATTCCTTACACTGATTTGTGACCCTCTCTAGACTCTAAAAAGTAGGTGAATCTTCTCAAGGTCATATTAATGTCAATCAAAGCTCGTCCACAAATTATAACCTCACTGTGGAAAAATGGTCAGCTCTTTTTACTTAAGGGACGTCCTCACGAAAGATTAATTTTCAATGAAGTTCTACTTAAGAATGATATTCCTTATCTCCTCAACCTGTTTAGTCCGGAGAGTCCTCGCAATTCGGACTGCTCTATCAAGGCACATGCCGTACTATTGGTGTAAGGCGCATAGTTCCGAGCATTTGTGCGGAAACTACGATCGTCTGCTTCTTTAAGGCCTGGAGAATCATGAAGCAAACACATTAGTTCTGAGATCCATAGTAAGGTACCTACCCTACTATTTCAACCGTTTTACCAAAGTTGGAAGTTCTTCATAAAATTCCGAAATACTGTACAAAGGTACAAAAACTTCACGTTTTGAACTAAGTCACAAAATAACGAAGTACATGTACAAAGGAACAGACTGATATGACGTTCTGAATGAACTTTCAAGGACTTCGCGATACCATGTACCGCAAAATGGAAAAACCTTTATTCACTTACTTTTGAAATCAGAAAATAAACTTTGAAATTTATCAATAATTAAGTAAGACTTCTGGCTGTGGCCAAAGCAGAAATAAAAAAGTAGCACAAAGAGGTGACACGTTACCACAGTGTATTTATTTGCATTGTCTGACCTAGAAACTCGAGTATCCCGCCTCGTAGACCATAGTCTGATAGCCTTTGGAGTAGGTCAGTCTTAGTAATATGTATAAAAGGTCGATCGACTCATTTAATCGTTTTACTTTATTACTATGAAGATCCAATCTCGCTTTGAATGTATTCAAGATGCCTTAGATATTTGTAGTTTGACATCTCATTTGATATATAAAGCGCGCTTTTCGAACGGGAAGTTTAGTCCTAACGTGATTTGCATTTATCAAACTTTTGCTGTGTTCTTATGCAACAGAAGTACCATTTCAGTTCTAAAGAATCTATCCTGAGCTACACGTTCGGTAGGTTACTTTTTTCTAGTTTCACCATATTTAATAGTTACCTGTGGTTTTGCCTCGGCCTACTATTCGGTTTTTTTTCACGTATAGATTAGTTTCAGTTTATATCACTCGTTTTATCCATTTTTGTCCGTTTTCAGTGTGCTTTTTGGTGTTTTTTAAAGGTCTTAGGCTTTTGCAAGCATCTATAACATAGTTTGCTTCAATATAGTCATGAAAAACTCATGCAAACGTCCGGGATGCCGTTTTGTTGTTACAACTGGCATGCAGTGCGATAACTGCAAAGGTTGGTTCCACGAGACATGCACAGATCTGACAGCGACTGCTTACAACAGACTCAGCAAGTCAGACCAAAACTGGGTGTGTGTCACGTGCAGCACGGACGTTGTAGTCTTGCTGAGTAACATCATTGTCCTACTGACAGGTCTTCGGAACAAATTGTCAGTTAACTTGGATAACGATAATAAAAGAACCGGTAAACAAACAAGAGCGTGCGACGGATACAAAAATAGGGATCTTGACAGGTATACCATCGATGGAGCATCCATCAACACTAATGATGACGTGTCGAGGCTCAGCACCATCATTACGTCGACGGTATTAGACTCCATAAGCAAACTCGGGTCTCCCAACTCAGGGTCCCTGAGCACAACAGTGGTTCCCAAAAACCCTGTAGGTGATTCGACCCACGTTAAGAGAGCCCAAAAGAACCAGGCATCACCGCCTAGGTCGAGCAACCCAAGTGTTGCTGTACGGAAAATAACCGGTGATTTAGTCGCACAGTCTACCCCCAAGACTGTTCGTCCGGTCAATAAAGAGCCCAAGACTAAAAAACGCGCACTGACCTCCAAACAACAAGTTATAAAACCTGAACCCATCGTGAAACCTGGTAAATTAACAACAGTTCGTGACGATTCTTTCATTATCATGAACCTCGTTGACAATCCTGATCTTCCTCTCAGTCTGCAGGACAAAAATGACAGGATGCTCTGGGGTGAATTGAACAAGAAGCTCGAACTTCCTAGAATAGAGCCTTTAACGGTCACACGGCTCACTCGAGGACAGGATTCTAACCATCTAAATGACCCGAGGCTTCTCCGAGTAACACTTAAGAATGCTACCGACGTAGATGACGTCTTGCTAGAAAGTCACTTGCTGAAATCCGATAGTAACGTAAGAATATTGCCCGACACACCGTACTCTGAGCGCAATATCATACGGAACATCCCTAAAGAATCTCGCGAGAAGTTTTTCCGCGGAAGAAACATAATTGTGCAAGGTATACCGGGAAATGCAGACCCCACTCAATCAAATTCTGACATCAGGAAATGGAAATTCATCAAACAGTCCCTGAGGCTCAAACACATACTGACTCAGCATGTGACGAGACTAGTCAAGAAGGACGGTGATCTTAGACCCCGTCTAATGAAGATAACCTTCCCATCTTCCCACATGGCGGCTGCAGTTCTGGAAGCATTGGAAAAAAGTTCCCGGCTAGTGATCATAACATTGTCATATGCAGCCTTAATGTAAAAGCCACAACCGATAGAAGTAAAACCGTAACACTTCGTAGAAACTATCGCAAGGTTGATTGGAATAACTTCCACAATTACCTAAGAAGCACTGATTGGAGAACTTTCTTTACCTCAAACAATACGGACACATTAACCAATATATTTTATCACAACATCAAAAGTATCATCAACAACATCGCACCTTTAGAATACTGTAAACCTACGTTCTCCAAAGATCTCTATATACCGATCAGTACAAGAAGACGTCTTCAAAGACATTGTACTCGATTCCACAACTTAAATGACTTTTCCTCTTTAGTAACGATGACAGAAATACTTGTCCGAACAGAGGCAATAAGCAAACAAAAAGCAGTAACACATGAAAAACGTGCAGTTGAACTTAATAATAACTCCTCTGCACTCACCATATTACTCCAAAATAAACTTATACGCTCTAAATCGAGAGGGAGTATATTCATTAAAGGCAAAGAAGTATACGAAGATCCCAAACTTATCACAGAATTATTTAGTGACCATTTTTGTTTCTCACTAACTAACAAAAATCCATTTAATGGTTCAGAACCAATCCCAGTAACTCCCTGCGAAGTTACTAATGTAGAATTCAGTGTACAAAATATCTCCAAGGCAATCAGTACATTGAAACACTTCTACACTGATGGACCAGATGGTATTCCATCAAGCATGTTAAAACGTGGAGGTGATGATATGTGTGTTTTGCTTCTCAAACTATTCGCGATATCACTCTCTTCAGCGTGTTACCCTACTGTCAGGAAAACTACACATATCATTCCCAAAATTAAAACAGGACCTGAAGCAAACGTTGAAAATTACCGGCCTATAAACATAACTTCAGTGGTATCCAGAGTGATGGGAAAAGTAGTTAAGGCGGCTGTAGTCCAACATCTACTAACTAATAATCTCATCTCGACCTCCCAGCATGGATTTCTTAGGTCCAGATCATGCGATACATGCCTAGTAGACTACCTGAATGATATAACTCTGAAAAGAGACAGCGGACTCCTTGTATCAGTCCTATTCCTAGACTTTAAGAAAGCCTTTGATAAGGTCCCACACAAAAGGCTACTTGTCAAACTAAAGTCCTTCGGAATACACAACCCACTGTACTCATGGTTTGCTTCGTTCTTAACAGAACGTAAACAGATGGTAAAGTACAATGACTGTCTCTCGTCCCCTTGACCAATCACCAGTGGAGTCATCCAGGGAAGCGTATTAGGTCCACTTTTGTTTCTTATGTATATAAACGATATATGTAACACCATAGAATTTGGGAAACCGTACTTATATGCTGATGATCTCAAAATAGTATACAGCTATAAGCCTGAGACACTAAGCGAAAGTGTATCCCAGATCCAAAAGGACCTCAATAACTTAACTATCTGGAGTGAAAAATGGCAATTACCATTTAACTTCAACAAGTGCGGGATCGTGCACTTTGGAAAGCATCCCTATAAACTGCGACTTCACTTAAATGAATGTAGAGTTCAAACACTCGAATCAGTACACGATTTAGGAATTAACTACACAGGAAGCCTGAACTTTGAAGAACATGCCTACTCTATTATTTCTAAATCTAGACGGCTAATTGGTTTTTTAATGAAAAACTTTTTCACAACAGAGGGCAAACTTACTCTCTACAAAATATGTGTACGACCCTCCCTTGAATACTGCTCTTTTGTTTTCTCTAATATGAATATCGCAGACAAGATAAGAGTGAAAGATGTTCAAAGACGTTTCACACGTCAACTACTAGGATGTAACTCGAATCTCGATTACACAGACAGATATAAGCATCTATCTTTAGAACCTTTATGGCACCGTAGGCTAAAAAACAATTTAATATTTCTCTACAAAGCGATATATGGGCTCTCCTTTCTAACCTCCTGCCCGACTATCACCCACGACCCAGCCTATAGGCTTAGAAACAACGCATATACACTACTTACCGTAAAACACCAAAAACAAATGCGTTGTAAGTTTTTTACAGTACGGTATAGTGTATTGTGGAACAGGCTGCCAATGCCTATCCATAACTGTGATACGTTTACCAGATTCAAAAAGCTAATAACCCTATTTCTAGACTCCAATGAGCTTCAACATTTCCTTGAACTCCCGCCCACCGATGAGGCACTTTATTACGGACCGCCTAGTATCTAGAAAGAACAAGAT